ATCGAATTGTATTTTGGGTGAACGCAAACTCATAAGTCATAGTTCGTTAAGTCGCTTAGAGATATCTCCTCTTGGCCCTGTTTTCAACCATGGCATGCTAGCAAGTTTTCAGAGAGGGGTTTTTCCCCTCCCAACCCCAGGGAGATTCATAGCTTTAAGATAATTTTTGCAATGCCTTTCAATACAATTTTTTATTTTATAACTGCAGGGTGTCAGACAGTTTGGTGGTTTTGTGGTATTCATAATGATTGTATTATCTTTATTTTCCATGGTTGGGTTAACCTTGTAAATGTATCAGCTAAGTCAGTTTGGTTTTGTTACTTTATTACAATGTTACATTAGTAAGTGATAATCGAAGTTGTAGTGTTAGGTTGGAATTAGCAGTATTTTTGCATTTTCAACATGTTTTCAGTAGGTAACCATGACAGTCACATGTCAGAGGAATTTTTTTATTTACACAAATTTTATCTCTCTACTATTTATGTAATTGTTATGTAGTTTAAAAATATATATACAGGTAATGATGTATTTTTCATAACCAAATCGATATACCTGCATATCTCAAACACGACCAATAATTTCAGGAAAAATGCAAATTAACTGTTTCCTGCTACCTAAACTATATACGGTAAACCATATAATTAATGAAAATGTTTATGAATGAGGACCAACTACATTAGGCAGCCACATTCTATTGATTGAATAACTGTCTGCAATATATAATGACAGATGGTGCTTTCGTGACAGTGACTTCGATTGCTTCACGGTTCGGTAGGAAAACACAAAAGCCCACAGGTGGTGTGTTGACCAATTAAGTGGCAGAAGTGAAAATAACTTGTTTTGTTCGACAGAACGATTTGCAGTGTATGTGAGCATGTTGTCATTTCTAGCCGTCGTCCCATACAGAACGGTCGTACTAAAATTTGATCTTATTATAATTTCTTTATCCTGTGTAATTTTGTACGTTTTATGCCAATACTATTCTATATATACACGATTATACAACATAGGTTCCAGTATTACTCCCGAGGATAACTTGCCTTTGGGCATAGGTTTCCAGGTATTTGTCCGGTTTTTCCTGAGCGAGCGAGTTTATCTGTTTGAGGAAGATTTACTCCATATTTTGTAAGTTGTATGGCACAATATATATATATATATGGTACAAGTTATGGTCTCATCCAGTAACTTCTGTACTGTAAGAAGAGTTTATCGGTTGGCGGGGAATTTACTCTTTTTCTGTTTACACATTGTATTACGTTCTCATCCCGTTGCTTCCATAGACTTTTACTGTAATGCCAATTTTCAATGTATTGTCTGTTCTGTTTTATGTTCAAAATTATACACCGACCGCTTATTAACGGCGGGCTAGATGGCAAATAGATATTTGCGTTCTTGTTGTTTTTGTAGCTGTAGAACACAGAAATTGTGAGTGGAGAGAAGATGGTAAGGGTTTTGGCGTAGTCTGAAACAATGATTTTTTTCTATGGAGAGGAGTGGTTCCAGGTTGGTTTCAGTAGCCGTTGCCGTCACGGGATTTCCATAATCAATCTATACTTAGACTGAAGAACGATTACAACGCGTTTACATGAAGCTAACTGTGAACTTCTTGTGTGAATATACACACACAACACACACCTACAGCAAAATCTTGCTACATAGGTGTTTACCTCAGCGTTGTAAATTGTGTCAGTTAAATGTTCAATTGTCTAGACCCTGACGTTGGTAACATAGACTCGAGTGATGAGTCATTCACCGTGAAACATTTTTATTGGACCGCAGTGACCTTCTGTCTACTCGAGGTTATCGTAACATTATATGTCTGAAATCCCCTTTTCAAACTGTTGAGGTTTATAAACGTGTTAACATACCCATTTAAGATTTTTAACATTTATCTTTTACCTTTTACCTTTGTTTAATGTTATTTCTTTTTGGATCGCTGTGTATTTTATCGTTTGATGGCCCTAATGACCTTTTATGTGTTGACGGGCCGTTAAGAATGTAATGGAATTAATAATAATAACTGATATTTCAACACAAATCTTGAAAGTGTAAAGCCTTGTTAATTGGATAACTCATTAAGCTCCAGTAGCCAGAGAAGAAACAAAACATTGGGGACATTTTTTCTGGAGTTAGAGAAAATTGGGTAATACAATAAATTGTAGATTTTTAATGAAATAGTTCTAAGATGCACCATACTACAACCATTTTTTATACTGGAGACATTTACGTCCCCGAGTAATTAAAGTATTTTTTTGTGTATCTGTCAGGGAATGTTTTGCTTGATAGCGTCATTTTGTAAACAAATATGAAAACAATGTAGGTCCTGGGGATAACAAGCATTTTCCGAAAAAAGAAGGTGGTTTTATATTCCCGTGATAAGAACATTTTTAACATAATGCTGATAAATGTGTGAAATATGTAAAAATCAATGATTTTCAATGGAACGATAATGAATGTACATGCTTACCGAGTATAATTAAAACATGCTTATAATGCATAATTAAAATCAACTCATCCATCTGTACTAAGGATTTAATCATTACCAAGTTGTTGATTATCTCCCCTTTTCTTGAAGGTTGTTAACACAGTCCACTGCACAGACCCTTTCACGATCATAATGACTTATGAAAGGGAAGTACGTGTGCAGTAGAATGTGCTAACAAGTTTGAAATATTTCCAATGAAGACATTACCATCACTAAGATGACCGTTAACAGATACGGACATTCCTCGGTCATATTGGATTCCTGAAATGAGTGTTCCTTAACTTTACGGTTCAGAATACACGCATGTACTTGACACTGTATTAAAATGATCTGATTTATTAAAAAATACGAAATTTATTTAATTATGGGACTGCTGCACCTCCCCTTCTAAATTTTGACTTCTCATTTGATCACGTTGGATTTTCCCCTATGCTTCAAAATTTAGGCCCTTAGCATCAATGACGAGTTCTAGAAGTACGAAACAACTACTGCATCTAACTCCTCATTTGTATCATAAAGTGCTTTTCACCTGTGTGTCTTTTTGTACAATATTTACAGTGGTCGATTAAATGGCGTTATGTAGCTGGCTCGTCTTTCCCTCTTTTAAGTATTATAAAATCACGGTTCACACTGTGATATTCTTAACTCGAGAAGTTGAAGTGGCTATATGGATTTTGAAAAGTTTTGGTCACTCTTAACCATCTTCTGTAAAACAAACAAAACATTTCAACTCTTTACCATACCAATTCCAAACCAAAAGAGAGCATTCATTCTCTTCTCAGAGAGGAACGGCGATGCAAGTACATTCGTATATGGTTGTGCCTTATGCTGGAGCATAGTGAGCGAAAATAATGATTAATATCAAGAGAAAATTGTCGTTTTTTAAATCAACAGATCTTCATAGAGTTTTGTGTCATGTACATTCAACAGACAACTGGTATGTGTAACACAGTAGGCATACACACAAGTACTTGTTAGTAATAGCCATGTGTTGAATAATAATAATGTTACATGTACAAAAGCAACATCTCATCAACATCAGAGTTCATATACTCATACTAGTACTTCACGTTGTGTCTCGTATCAGAACTGTCCATCTGGTGGGCTCCCCCAAGGCCGTATGTTCCCCCTGCTAATTTGTTACTTGAAATAGACCCTAATACTTACTCTACTACTAGGTGGTCACTGTCCGAACGGGAAATTGCTTAAGTTTGATTATCAAGGAAGTGGGGATAGTCGCTAATTAAGTAACTGGCGGAAGCTGTACACTCACTGATAAGATTCTCGAGGCCTAGACTACACCCCTATGAACTACCTATATGTGTTATATTGATATACTATTGAACATTAAACGAACTATTGTTTAAGCTAACTTATTTCAACCAATCAGTCAAAGATTATTGACTTATGTATCTGAGTTACACTAATATCGAAACCACATTTTGTAACAATATATCTAAACCGTATTTTATTACACATGCCGATGGGAACAAATTCTGTCCCTTCTCTTTGCTTACTTTGTTTTTATTTTTCACAGAAGGCTAAATGTTTAAGGTAAAACAAAGATCTTGCCAAGTGATTGTATTTCACGTTTAGACTTAAAGGCTGATGACTTGCTTTAAAATAACAAAAACATAATTTACCATATCTATCATTTACATCCACCAGATCTGAAAATCAGTCTTCCACCTAAGTTACTCAATTTGATCTATTCCTTTAAAGAAATAAACAGGGAAAGTTATCTACCTTGCGGTATGTTAACCATGATGATTCTGTTTTCCCTATAATGACTTTTCCATTTCTAGATAGTCACAATCCTGAACCCACAGCCTACGGTGTTCACATACCACAATAGCCCCGTTTCCAATATGACGATTTTCGCGGAAGATGTTGACAGCTGGTGGATAAGCATACAACACTGGAAACATGTTCGAGCGATGCAGGTTGATGGCGACGGCCGTCGTTGAAGTAGAAGACGCCGCCCCTTCCAGAACAGCTGGTCTTACTCTTTTCATACTTTCTTTAAGTTCTTCGTTCTTTTGTTCATATTTCATCATCGGTTTCCGAATCTTAGTCAGGATTACGAATTTGTAAACGTATTAACGTTATTTTTTATTCGTATTCATTTGGGAACATGACATCAATCATTAAACTGCGTTAACCTAGATTTACATGGCAGGCGTCGTCAGTGAAATAGGGGATGGTTTCCCTTTTCATATTTCTATTAAATAGCACCTCTCGCCATGCCTGGGGAAGGTCATTTAAAAAAAATGTAAAGACTTAAGAAAATTTATTTTTTATATGTTTGCTAAAACATTGTGCAAAAAGTTTTACAATCTTTAATGAACTAAAGGGCAAGTATGGGTAACATCACATCCTCAAACATAAAATGTCAGGGACAAGAAAAGCTCCATCTATCCAAATTTCTATGTCACACTTTTCTTTTTAAATCACATCTCTTCATTACTCATCTTTGTACCTTGTATGGAAATTGAAACAATAAGTCATTGTGGGAGTGTTTTGCTTCAAAATTTTTATTTAACCCGTCATTGATACCATCCGATTTTAATCAACAATCCTTCAGTTTTGAATTAATATCCAACCACAATACTGTAAAATCAGAGTTTTGTTCACAATGTGGATATTTGATTTGTGGACAAATCTCACTCAATAAATCAACATATGGTGATTTTAAGAGCTCGTGAATTTAAATTGACAATGAAATCAATGATAATAAATGCTCCAAAAAGGATGATGATTTCACAGTATACACAATGTTGATTATGATATAATTCTTTGATCAAATATTATAAATACATAAAGTGATGTCTTCACAATTCTATTAACATTTATTATCTATTCTCACAATGAAAGGCTTTTGTAGTTTGCAAAAATACATGGGAACAGTCAAGATGATACTGAATCTCCCGCCCCAGGAAAGCAACACCAACCATTTACACAAAATTGATTCCTCTACATGGAAGGATAATTTTAACTATTTACTCCATTTCCCTTATTTGGCGCCATTCCTCCCACCTCCAGTTGCCAAGACCCATCACGTATACAAAACTGGTGTACTTTCACCCAAGGATGCTTTAGACCAAATTGCGACACAATCCTTCAGATGAAAGATTTTAAACTTTTTTCTCTATTTCCCTTGTTTGGTCCCAACCTTCATCTACTTGCCAAGACACACAATTTATACATTAATGATGTCCCTTACCAACTGATGCTTGAGACCAAATTGACACAATTCTGACATTCCAACAGAAGAAAAAATATTTCAAAGAATTTGCTCTCTTTCTATATTGGGCCCACCCAGGGGCTGAGGCCCACCATCTCTACAAAATAGATTTCCCCTCACCAAAGAATACTTAATACCAAATTGGGACAAAAACCTGGCTTTCCTACGAAAGAAGAAGAATTTGCACCATTCTGACATTCCTACAGATGAATAAGGGTTTTAAAGTATTTGCTTGTCTCCCCATTGGGCCTCAACCCTCTTGCCCCCCTGGCAACTGTGACAAAGTTCACTAACAAAAAATGATCTCCTCTATTTCCCCTCTTGGCCCCTGCCGCTTCCATTCCAAGAAGCCAAGACCCAGTATCTAAATATGCGTCAGCAAAATAGGGACAAAATCAAAGCATTCTTAATGGAGAAGAAAGATTTTAAAGAATTTGATCTATGTGCCCTACTGGGACCTGTGCATTTCGCCCCAGGGGCTGAGACCCACCATTTATTCAAAATTGATTTCCTTTCACCCAAGAGAATCCAAGCATTCTTGTAAAAGTAAAATTTTAAATGACTTGCCTAATTTGCCGTTTTGAACCATACCCCCCAAGCCAACGGTGGCTGAGAACCACCATTAATACGAACTTGGTTTCCCTTTCCTCAAGGATGTTTCTGATTAAATTTGGTCAAAATCTGTTCAGTCATTCATGACTAATACAGATATTTAGTAAAAGGTTGACAGACGACAGACAGCAGATGTGGGAAGGAAGGCAGACACCTTACCATTGCACAAATTCTCTGGCACTTCGAACCAGGTGACTTAAAACTTGTAATCTCAAGACATTACCAGCTTCCTTCTCCAACTGCTGTCATAGTGTAAGCCTATAAAACATCGGTCTTATAATCTAGATAACTTTTAAACTTGTAACACGAGCCATCTCCTTACTTTATTGTATTACGTTATTGACTCTCTTTGATACCACAACAACAGACTGATCATCTACATCACCACCTTGCTGCTGTTTCTTCATTTTCTGCACAATGTCTCTATGTTTGATACCTGTCATAAAATACAAAGCATACAAATTAGTCATTTCACCTGTAAATTCTCAAAAATCAGCAGGCACGAACCTATAAAATTACACAGAATCTTTCATTTATCAATACATCTATTTATTTTTTTCAAACTTTTCAATCAAAAATCAATATTTTAGGTCATATACTGAAGAGCTATTTTTGAAGGAGTATTCAATAATAGCCCTGTGTTTTATGTTTGAACGAGGACAACAATTAATGCATTTAAAAAGAGGGTAAAATGTTCACACAGAAATGATAGGAAAAGGGCAATTTAAAAAATGACATATTTAAAACTGATGGAGTTTGAATGATATCTCTTATATTCTGCATTTGTAATATAGAGTTTCAAGTTTACCTTGTCTGTGTGCTTCCAGCTGGCCAAGAGAATTGACAGCGATATTACAAAACAAACAGAAAAACTGGCTGGCATTTTTCACTTGTACTGAAAATCAAGGATTTCAAATGTGGTATCTGGCATTCTTCATGATTCACTTTTACATTTAAGGTCACTTACATAAATCACTGAAGAAAATGTGCAGACATGTACAGAAAAAAAGATTTTTAATTGATAGTTAAAATCATCCTAGATTTATTAATGGTTTTTTTAATTAAAAGTTAAAAATATCCTAGATTTTTTATGAATTTTTTAATTGATAGTTAAAAGAATCCTAGATTTATTTATGTTACTGACTTCTGAATAATCCTACATAACCTCAATTAATAAAAAATTACAAAGTTTTTGCATTGTGATATCATTGCACTAATAACAGATTCTGCATATTGGTTGAATTGTGGATAAGTATGTTCATTGCTCTAATTTGCAAAACAAAAAACCCAGTGAAAATCTGCTGAAATTGACTTCATCAAAATTAAGGCTGTTCACACAGCTAAAACCATACAGCTGTAACAGAATTTCCTTTCCCGTGCAAGTATTACTTTTTTACCATTTACAAACCACCTCTTCTTCTGACAAACATTTTGTAATTCAAATATTTTCCTTTCTTCTTCTGTGAAATCATACACTTGTGTTGATCTCAAACTTAATTTTTTTTTTCCAAAAAAAAAAAAAAACTAAACAAGAACAAAAAAAATCTCATCAATATTTTGTGAACGCTTGATTTTGTTGATGTTAAGCATTCAGGAATACCATGATACTTAACATGTTAAATCTATTCAGTGGTGAACATTTGCATCCATGGATAAGTCATATCCTTGAAATCAGTGCAAATAATCTTTCACAAATATTTTTAAAAAGATGAATGGGCTAGAATAAACAAATGATATTTGTATATTTATTTTTGTGTTTAAAAACAAAGATTTCCAAAAATGTTACCTGTTTCTGGATTTCTATTATTTAGGAGATTCATCTGGTGTTTCCGACCCTGTAAGTACGTTGAACATTATTTACATCATAGTTTTAAATAATCATGAACCAAATCAAAGTCAAACCATTGGCTCATTTTTTAATAAAATAAATAGGGGTCAGCTCCAGCATACACTAATCTCATCTATAAGTAATATAAGTTGTACAAGTTTGAGTATTTATAATACAAAGTCTTATACAGGAGGTGGCTATACTATATATAGAGACATATTGCTGCAGTTGAACTTCTGCCTTTTTACAAATAGTTCTTAAACAAGTGAACTTGTATTTGATGTCATAGTCATAACCAATTATCAATGTATTTTCAATGAATTTAGCTCCAAGCAGAGATGAACAAGCAGTTAGATTGGTGGGCAAAAATAACCCCTGGTGAGTGTCTCCCTGTATACACTAATGTTTTAATCAGTTTAATTAATATCTGACCTGAAGCTTGATACAAAATAATTGTTCTTCCTTTCACCTAGTTTAACTTTTGTCTTTAGGTTATCATGGGTCATTTTCTGATATCACAATTCATGTAACCACACATTGACATTTGATGATTCAAAACTGTGATATATACATTCTAGATGATGAATATTTTTCAAAGAGATATAAAATCATGTTTGAATTTGGGGCAAGACAGACATCTCAAGTTTAATCAGTTATAATAAGCAGACACCTCAAGTTTAATCAGCTATTATAAGCAGACACCTCTAGTTTAATCAGTTATTTTAATCAGACACCTCTAGTTTAATCAGTTATTATAAGCAGACACCTCAAGTTTAATCAGTTATTTTAATCAGACATCTCAAGTTTAATCAGTTATTATAAGCAGACACCTCAAGTTTAATCAGTTATTATAAGCAGACACCTCAAGTTTAATCAGTTATTATAAGCAGACACCTCAAGTTTAATCAGTTATGATAAGCAGACACCTCAAGTTTAATCAGTTATTATAAGCAGACACCTCAAGTTTAATCAGTTATTATAAGCAGACACCTCAAGTTTAATCAGTTATTATAAGCAGACACCTCAAGTTTAATCAGTTATTATAAGCAGACACCTCAAGTTTAATAAGTTATTATAAGCAGACACCTCAAGTTTAATCAGTTATTATAAGCAGACACCTCAAGTTTAATCAGTTATTATAAGCAGACACCTCAAGTTTAATCAGTTATCATAATCAGACACCTCAAGTTTAATCAGTTATTTTAATCAGACACCTCAAGTTTAATCAGTTAAGCAGACAAATCAAGCTTTATCATTTACTGTTAGCTGACATCTCAAGTTTCACTACATTGTAACAAAAGATCATAAAATGGCCTCTCAAGTTATACTAAAGATAGTAAGCTGGTATCAGTTTTGTAGTGGTTGCCATAGGACCAAGGATTGAGATCTTGGACGAGCCTAATTTGGCAAAATATTCACCCATCTTTAAAATGTGTCAATCTATTTCAAGGGAGATAACACACACCTGTTGATACATTATATACATATAGGTTCAATGGACAAGTTTTCTATAAATATACCTATATCTTAGGTATGTAGTAAGCCAAACTATATTGACCAGTTCTGCAGAAATGTAAACAAATGTTATGTTATAGTCCAGCATAAGCCTATTCTCTATTTCTTGTCAAAGACTACATGATAGCTCTACTATGTGTGAACCTCCAGACAGGTTGAAGGATCAATGTCATACACTTACCTGAAGGTGGTGTAATTTGCTGGATGGTGAGGTGTATTCAACATTACATAATTTACACCTCTCCTCGTTTTTTTGATTCGTGAAGGTATTGGCTTTACGTCGATGCTTTGCTCCAGAAAGGTGTTGTTCACGTGTTAAGACAGAAGTATGTTGTACATGACACAACTCACATGTACCAAAATCTGGTGAAGAATCTTCAGACAAACCTAAAGGGTCTGATGAGCCTGGAAATACATGCAATAATATACAGGACCTGCACTGCCTAACCAATAGAAAATGCTTCTATTTCCCTTATTTGGCTATAACCACAGTCCTGTGGAAAGTCAGAAAATACATTGATACAACAAAACTGATTCCCCATCACCCAAGGATGCTCTACATCAAATTTGGTCAAAAGCCTACTTTCACCTGTCTTTCCCTTCTTGGACCATGCACATCCTTTTGACTCCAGTTATATCAGACCATTTGTGTATTATCTGCACCTATCTAAAATCCATTTAAAGATTTGAGCTCCTTCACTCAACAATAACAAAACTATATACATGTAGCGCATTAATAGAGTTAATGACAAACAGTCAATAATGTTTGAGCACCAGAAAAGTAGTGAACTGTCATTTATTATCATTTACAAGTTTAACAAATATCAGAAGATAGTTAATAGCTTTTACTATAACTGTGAAATATATTATCAACATTGTCATTGCAGACATTATACAACTCAAATACATTGATTATAACTATATATCAGTTCCCTATGATAACTGCAGCAGCACAGAATTTGTAAGCAGGAAAGAAATATGTACCAGTTTGCATATCACTAAGGTATCAGTGGACCTTATAACTGCCAGGATGGGGGATCATACATGCAACTGGATAGCGGGAGTTTGGGGGTGGAACACTGAATCACTGAAGTATGTATATGGATGGGTGGGCATACATTTACTATGATACATACCTGTCAATGCCTGTATTTTTTTCTGGTGTCTCTTTCCACTGATGTGACACTCCCTTTGACTTTCAGAGGTGTAAAAAACCTGACAGACTGGGCATTCTCCTAATTCTTCAGCCTTCCTCTTTCTGGGTGGTGGCAGTGTTGGTGGGAGATCTATAGGAGCAAGGAAACAGGGCAATTCATCAGTTACCTGTCTCCTGTCTCCATTAGTTACCTGTTCTAATTCCTGTGCCTCCATCTTTACCTGTCTGCTGTCTCCATAGGTCAACTGTTCAAATTCCTCTGCCTCCTTCTTGATTGGTGGTGGTGACGGAAGTTCTATACGACGGAGGGAACAAGGAAGTTCCTCTTTTACCAGCCTCCCGTCTCCATGAGTCGTCTTTCCGAATCCTTCATCCTCCCTCTTTTCAGTGGCAGGTGGAGGTGGTAGAGGAAGAACCACAGGAGAATGAGAACATGGCAATTCTGAGGTCACCTGTGTCCTGACTTCTTGGGACTTCTCTCCTGAATTTTTGTCATTTTCAGGCTGGCTCACTTGCTTGTTTTGACTTGTTGCATCTGTTGAGCAATAACACTTATCAAACAGAAACCATGACCTGGTTATCATCAATTATGTTCAGTTATCACATAAGTGAAACTATTACTGTAAAAATCATTAATTTTTGTAGGGTTTTATTTTGTTGATTTTGTGGGTATTGTAAATCCATTAATTAATATATCTACCAACTGTTAAAACAAGTAAAAATAGACTTATCAAGCTATAATTATCCACAAAATTAAGTCCATGTAATTTTTTTTTTTTTTTGGAAACCATGGATTTTAAAATGAGCCCTAAAAATATTTATAATATTACAGCATGTATAACATATCAATATTTCTGTTTGATACAAGTTTTCAAACGATCTGATTAAAATAATATATGATAATGCAATCATAATAAAAAAAACCAGTGATCTTACCTGAATGAATAATGTTTTAAACCAAATTTCACATTTAATAAGGAGAGGCTGATCATGTTGTATTCTACATCTACATGTATATATGATATACCATATACTGTATACTATAAGACTGAACAAAAGAGATCTCACTAATTTGTCCACCATCTCTGACTGCTGTCATATTGTATCATATCAGCTGTAAACCAATATTGCTAAAAAATAGCTATAAATATGTAACCCTGGTAAAATACTGGCCGCAATATTCCACTCGGCTAGGGAGAAATTCTCTTAAGCTTGATTGGTTGAGTGTCAGACTAGTACGCCAGGGGTCCCGGGTTCGATTCCTAGCGGAGGCATTGAAATAAATAATAACCTCTGTTACATTGGCGCCCATGTAGGGACCCAGGAATAGTACTTAGCCATGCCCCACCAGCGTCGCTGTAACCCCTGGAAATTCGAGGACGAGTTATTTCCTGGAGGGGGGAGTATGTAACCCTGGTAAAATATTGGCCGCAATATACCACTCGGCTAGAGAGAACTTCTCTTTAGCTCGATTGGTTGAGCGTCAGACTAGTACGCCAGGGGTCCCGGGTTCGATTCCTAGCGGAGGCATTGAAATAAATAATAACCTCTGTTACAAATGTAATATATATTCAAGTTCATCAACCCTTCAAATGCAAATTGTGGATTCCCGAAGTCCCTCTCCTGAATTTCTACCTAATGTATTTTTTTTAATCCAAGGAACAGCTGTTATGACAGAGTTTATTGATAATTCGGCAGTGGATCAGCTTGAATCAAACTTCGAGAGTTCACTTTACATGGAAGCAGATAGGAGGTACTTTTTGCAAGATTAATGACACAAACCAAAATCCTGCTTATATTTTACTTTCTAAGGTAACGTATCTAATTTTTGTGGGGTTTTTTTTTATGCATGAAAATTAAAAAAAGACCACTTAAAAAAGTAAACTTTACTTTACAGTATTAGATAATTCGGTGATGTCAGAAATGAAATATGAATATCCATACATGGACTATAAATATCTCTAAATGGAATTATGAAAAGTTCATGAAAGATTTTGGATAGATATAAAAATAAGACCTTTTTTACTCTTGTTTGCCACAGGACACACGTTTTTCTTATATTTGAAGGGATAAGTTTTTGAGAGTTCAAGTTTTGTGGGAAATGTTTTCACTGATTAGGGATGAAGCACATTTCAGGAAGAAAATTTGTGAATTGGGACAGAAATTTAAGGAATAATTTTGATTTTTTTTTTTTTTTTTTTGATAATTTGGCTTGAATATGAAATAATTTCCGTCACGAATGAGGCTAACAATCAGACCTATAAATCCCACAAAAAAACTTGTTAGGATTCAGTTGTCAGTTTGATACACATGGAAACATATACTTACCAGCAGATAACACCTTTTTCTTATGTTTTTTGCCATTAACGTGCAGTGTGTATTGGACTAAACTAGAAAGATTTAAGTGACAAGAATCACATCTGTAGAAGCAGGCTGCAATTAAAGTAAGAGGGATAATATTACACACAAAATAATTATGATACCACATTGTCCATTAATTGTTCTGTTGCCTAGAGAATACAATTAAAATCTAGGAGGAGTAATAATATTATGAAGTTCAGAGATCAAGGAAATATGGGATTTTGAGCTCAATTTAACCCATAAAAAGTTATTTTTTCATGTGATAATTGATGTGAATTTCTAAATGTGTTCAGAAGAGGTTGTTAAGGCTTTAAGGAAGATGACACGAATTTGGGTAAAACACTTGTACATATATATATACCCATGTAATTTCATGGCACCACTTTATATAATCAAATGTAAAACTTACTTGGTGTCACTTTACTTTTGTGTTTCTTTCCATTTAGATGCTCTTCATATGGCATCAAATGTGAAAAAGTTACATCACATAATACACATCTGTACGTAGAACTTGTCATGGCTAACTGCAGTTTCTCTATCAGGAAATGAAATTATTTAGAAAAACAAGAAGCTCACATAAACTCTACTTAACTGTGATGATTTTTTTTAAATAACTGACTCATATCTTACAATTTTTCTTCTGAACATAGGATATTTTTTACACAATATCTTCACAAGAGTTTATACCCATTCTTTATAAAATGAATCCTTTTCATTCATTCTTCTTATATGCCTTTTTGCTAAACCACCATCATTTTCACTGAGCATGTGAAATGAAACATAAAGTGAATTCTGTATATGAATTGGTCTTTTCCTTATTAGTACTAATTGGAAATGTTGAACTGAAAAATAATCAAAATGATTTGATATTGGCCATTCTGTTTTTCTGATCAATCCCAAAATTAATAATGCACTTGTACAACACGAGACCAAGGTGAGACAAGTTTAGGAATTAGAAGAAATATTACCCAGTGCTTCTCAATAAATAATGACAACAAATTTCCACTGTCAAAAGCCAAGATGGCTGCTTAGAGGCCATTTTTTTTCCAAAAAGTCCTCAAACAATCATGCACAACTACATAACATAGGGGAGTTAACATTTTGTAGAAGAGATTCCAGCTCTTGGTGCCAACTATGGTATATGATCCTTGCTATTTCTATAGAAGTCAACATATCTTTTCCCTTCTCCTTAATCTGTCCTTTATAACAATAAACACAACAGGAAGTCGCTATATCAAATTCGAGAACATCTCTTCCAAAATTTTCTTAGGAGATAGCAATAGCAATCAATAACTGGTAATATCCAAAATCATACTGTGTGTCATGGTCAGCCATTTTATTTTTCCAAAACACACAAAAATGGACAATCTACATTCAAGGACTTTAGAAAACTCAACAATGTATTTATAATTATTAACAAGAGATCCCAGCGGGAACATGACACTAACCATGGTTTGATGTTTATTTGTTCTTCAAAACTGGATCTTCTTTCTTTTTTTCTCTAATCTATATGAAATTTGAGAATTCTTCTGAAGAAGTATATATATGTATATCAATAATAATCTTTAACTACTAAAGGTGGTTGTCTGTCAGCTATTTTCTATTCCTGATTACCAGCACAATTAAGGACCAAGGGAAACATCAACTCATCAAGATTGAGAAATACCGTTCCAGTACAGCACTTCTCAAGAAATATGGATAACAAACTTCAGCTGTCAGAATCTATCATTTGGTTACTTTTAAGTTGTTTTGGTCCAGGCTTTGAACATCTGTGTTTCCAGCAATATTTCAGTAACATCTACAAAACTATTGATTTTGTAATAATATTATTCAAGTTTGAAATCATGAACACATGATCATAAGTAAAGACATAATGTACATTTCCATGACTCAGTAGACATCTTTTTATCTTATTGGAAATAAATAAATTTTAGTTTTACATAAAATGTTTAAATAAATTAGAAAAAAAACCCACTTGAGAATTACATGTGACAGTACAAATCAATAAACTGAAATTCATAAGTTGTACTTTGTAATCCAATGAAGTGATGACTAATTAATGTGATGTTATAGCTAAATCCAAGGATTTAAGGTAAACGTGAGAATACCACTATATACCGTTTCCATCAAAAGAACACGAAGGGAACCCTTTGGTTGAGCCCCTAAGGAAAAATACAACAACAGCTAATATTAATTTCAGTTCAATGGAAAAAGCTGAAATGTATTCACAAATGAGATTACATAGTAAGTCTGTAAATTGCAAGAACTAGTGCCAAATATATTTTATGTATTGTCAATAAAATATGTTTGAATGAATAAGACAAGAAATGATCAGGTAAAACAATTCATGTATAAATTCTAACTTTAAACGTTGGAAATAACTGTCTATGGGTGTGAAAATTCTGTGCATAATTCAACGGGAAATGTCGTGAGCGAAACGATCGGGTGCAATACGTCAGAATATCTCTTAACTTACAAATGTATCCGTTTTAAAAGTGGTTTAATCAAAACAAGTAATCATAAGCGACATATCGTTTACGATAAATCTGCATGACATTAATTATATACTTACAACGGAAGAAACAAACATTCAGTTCTTTAATTGACAGTCTCGCTTGTTTTGACCGGATCTCTTTCAAGCAAGATAATTATAGAGCCGAGAAAAGCGAAACGATTTCCCGGAATTTAAAGCTATGAGAAGTATTTAGCTAAGAGTAAGGTTCTTAAGACGGCGTTTTGTATGACTTAATTTCATTTTGATAGATTTGTGTTTTGTTTCATGTTTCTTATTTGTTTGTTTATTTGTTTATTTTTTGTTTTGTTTGCTTGTTTGTTTTTTTAGGTTGTGATGGGAGATGGTTTACATCGCTTTTTAGTTTTCATTTATTTATTTGGAGGCCAAATAACTGTCACTCTCCACCATGCATAGGATTTCACTTCTTTTTATTTTGAAATAGAAAAAAAAAAAAAAAAAAATCCGCGGAAAAGGTAGAATCGGAGTTAGAAATTATATAACAAGATGCACTATGCCCCTGGCTGCAACAAATCCTGCGATGGAACATAAAAGCTGTACTGTGTAAGGCATGTGCCAATAACATAATCCTCCACTTCTAGGTCACGGGTTCAAGTTCAAGGCCTATGTGGGGTTGTTGCAAGTTGATGGCCACAGGTCGGTGGGTTTTTTTTTTTTTTTCTGAAGAAGAAAAATACGAGAGACGCAAGTTAACAATTTTCTTTTCGTTTGTCAGATATACATAGAACCATGAAGCGTGCTGAAGAAACACAACATGCCAAAGTGAATGTCATAGGAGACACTGGTGTTGGAAAGTCATGTTTAGTCTTATATGAAATACTGAAAAGAATGACACCTGGCATAATAACAAGAAAGGCTTGTTACGATAGCAACGGTCCAAATGTAACAATTGACAGGAACCCGGACACAAGTTAATGTAGACAACGTTTGAGTCGACTGCTAAAAATAAGGGAACACGAAAGGACACAGAGCGGAAACATAAAAAACAAGGAAGATAGGTGTCTGTGAGGAATTTTTAATACTGTAGATCGTGTGAGATTGTCTCTGTTATGACAATATAAAAACAATTCATTTTAGATAAATCTTTATTAGTGTACACCACGTTCGGCACGGTCATCAATCAAGATGTTAGCTAACAGCTTATTTTGATAAAGAGTAACATAAAGTATAGAAAACATCTTTTCCAAAGATAATGCTTCTCTGTGGAAAGTCATTGGTATACTTTATGAAGGCTATTCAAAACAATTATTTGAAATAAAATAGTTAAAATGCCGTGTACATTATAATAGCATATTACGTTTTCTAACTTTCGTATAAATTGTACTTAAACTATATAAATGAGATGGTTGTTTTTGCATAAGATTTTCGTGATTGACGTATAGCTTCAAATATCAACTTAGTATTTAACTCCCCATTTATTTTCTATGGGATTTTCACCAACGTGAGAACCACAAGCCGATTTCAATAATTTCAGGAAATAAACAATTCAGGGTTATTATGATTAAGTTGTAGTAAAGTAACCATTTCCTTTGTCGATATAACCTACATTACAATGAGTAATCTTTACTCCATTTAAACCAGATTTTCTTTTTTGTTTTCTTTGCCTTTGTTGGTTCTTCCCATTTGGTGAAATTAGTTTCCAAAACCAGAGCAAAAATAGGTTATTTCTGCAGCCCATGATTTTAAGGAATTGGTACAAATTGATACCACAGCAAGAAAGCAAATTGCAGAAACCACTTTCATTTTCACTATATTGATCTGAACTTTGAAGTCGGTGAAACTAATGACTGTGATTGGCGACTGGAAGATGTTTGGAAACAGCTGTATGATGTTTAATACCCTATTTGTATGAAGAGGTGACATTCAAGATAGCAGGTGGTAAACACTTATGGTGGACTTTCAGTCCCCGAGGTTTCCCTAAACTGTACGTCACGTTTCAATTCATTCGAACAGTGGCACGGTTCAGAATACACACATGTACGTGACGTTGTTCTAAAATTATCTGATATATAAAAATTATCAAATGTAACTAATTCTAATATTCTAATTCTAACTTTTGATTTTCAGGATTTCCAACCCCCCCCCCCAACCTGGCTTCAAAATTTAGGTCCTTAGCATCACTGTCGAGTCCTTGAAGAACGAAAGAGTGTATGATGCAATTAATTTGGCTCTACTGTATCTAACTCTCTAAATTTATATTATTATATTATAAGGTGCTATTCACTTGTTTATTTTGTTTGTTTTTTGGGTTTTTTTTTTCGTAAAATCTTCATATGAATTTTAACTATTTTCATTCCTGAAACGTTCAAGCCAATTTCTAATGTCACTGGGTTTATAACCAAACGGCCCCGTACCTCCCAGGTACACGATAGTGTGATCGTACAAGATATACAGCCTTTCCGGATATGCTGCATACCGAAGACAGTTCTGATTATCGATGGGGTCAACCAGCAACTGACAGCCGAGTTCAAAACTTTGCAGGACCTTTGCAGCCTCGATTCTTTCCTCTAGTGTCTTGTGTTGCGTTAAATCCTGGAAACGGTGTCCGAACATGCGCCATTCGTCAATAGGATGAGCTTCCTTTATGTAAATGGTTAGAAAATCAGCGATGTCACCAAATTCTTGGAAGATCACTTTCATCTCGTCCATTTTGTCCATAAATGGTGGTCAGCTACAACTTCCAAAGTTCAAAATAAGAGGACGGGCAGCCTTTTGAAAATCGAACAACTTTACATACGACTTCATATTTATGTCGTAAAGATTTGTGTTTGGAGCTTTTCGGCCGATAAATGTCCGCCTGTGAAAAATGTCGTAGAAATTCAGACGGAACACTGATGTGATGGTTTGTATTGAAAGATTAGCATCTAAATTACTTTTTCCTTCCGTCACCAGCAGACCGATTTTCTTTTTGAGAAATCGATGTTTTGATAACACGACAGCTAATGAGATCAAAATGATTTCAATTGCCATTTTGAAACATTTCCACGCTACTATGATCCATCTGAAAGGAGGACCATCCCACCACTGCCACTTTTGTATCTTCATAATTGTACCTGCAACACGTTAATGTTTATCTATGAAAGATATGTTAAGGTCACAACAAAGACAGTTCGGGATGATCCAATCTTAGCTTGCTGCGAGACATACCATCAAGGCATGGCATCGCTCCCTATACCTCTATGTATCACCTGGTGTTCTACTTCCGGAGCTATGGCGAAATGGTAATGCAGAACTAACTCAAACATACATAAAATAAGTGATGATATATATGAATGTCCCTTTATGACGCGCTACCCCGCTGATACTTGTAAGTGGTACTTACAGCCTTAATGCTAAAGTGTAGGAAGTAACCGAGGAGTTGGTTGCATAATAAGGAAAATATTTTACTCTTTTTATAATCACGTATGCAATGTTTCTTTTATGTGAACTGTCCAAAGCAGGCTAGGAGTAAATTTTAATAATTAAATATCTTCTGATTTTTTTAAGAGAATATCTGTCCATGTTAAGTAAGGTTATATACTTATCAAGTATTTGACCGTCTCTTATTGTCCGTACCCCAAACAATATATCTATTCAACCCAGTCATATGGTGACGCCTAAACGCCAGCCTGAATATATAGTGATAACGCTTGGCACGTGTTAACTGTGAACTTACTGTTAAAAAGCTGTTTAATTCATGTCTATATATGCGACCTCTGTGTCTTTATTATTCGTCCTGAAGCATGATAACGCTTATCTATGTTTAATCAAAATAATCACACGAATGACACGTTAAGTTGAATGTAGATAAGCTATGTAAACTGATTACAGAAACAAGTTTGAACCATGTGTGTTTGCTGTACCAAATAATGGGGGATGTGACTTGCTACAGGTCACCATAAAGACAGTACGGAATGATCCGATCTCAGTTTGTTGAGAGATATAAACCACCAAGGGATGGCATCGCACCCTATTCCTCTAAATTTCACCTGACATTCTACTTTCTGTGCCCAACGACGGCAGAAATCACCCTCTTAAAGGCAGAAGGTCTTCTAAGCCCTTTCATGGCTTACAGGGCGGAAGAACTAACTCACTTGGTCAAAATTGTAAAGAAGAACTAACTTAAACATACATAGTATACAAATTGCATGTAGAAATAAGTGATGATATACATGTGTGTCCCTTTATGACACGCAGACATACCACTGATAATTGCCAGTGGTTCTTATAGCCTTAATACTGAAGTGTAGGAGGCGACAGAGTTGGTGTTGGTTGCATAAGGAAAATATTTTACTCCTTTTTACAATCACATATTCACGTATGCAACTGTACTTTTATGTGAACTACCCAAAGCAGGCAGGGTTTAATTTTTGATGATTAAAGATCTTATGATGTTTAAGAGAATATATCTCCGTGTTAAGTGAGATGATATTTATATACTTACTTCTTATTTGACCGTCTGTCTTGCCCGCACCCAGAAACAGATCTATTTATTCAACTCAATCGTATGGTGGCGCCTAAACGCCAGCCTGAAAATATAATGATAACGCTTGACATATTTTGACTTTAAACTGTTAAAATGCTGTTAATTCATATCTAAAGTTATAATTATGCCTGTCATATACTCCGCGAGGTGACATCATATCATGAATTATGACATTTTAGTGTCTATGTTTTGAAAACGGGCGGACGATAAGACTTTTAACGTGAAAATCATCAAAATATTTAACATTTGTTTCTTATAATTAATCAAATTCGATGTAAAGCAAATCAAAGCAAAAACAAACAAACACAAAAAAAAGCAAAGTGAAGACAGTTATGATCTTTTCTTTTTAGTACACACATCGTTTTTATACAACATTTATTTTTTAGGGAGACCATGAGAATGATTTAGTCTTTATTTTGCTTGTTTGTTTGGGTTTTTTTGTGGTTAAAGAAATCACCAACACACAGGTCACAACGAAATTGCAAAGTCCTTCATTTTCACTTCCAGTCAACGGGAAAGTTACTAACCACGTTTGTCGTTTACACCAACCTGAATCGGAAATCAAGGCCTGGCAGACTCTTCTATATCAGCGACTGGCCTCAGTGTTAACTTAGGACACACTTTGCAGATGTATGATATTTGGTGATTTCAATGTTGCTTTCTTTTTCTCAATATAAGGATTTCTTTCTCGCCAATCCGTGTTGGTTGAGGCCTTGTTTCCAATGACTAGAAATATGTGTCTGATGCTGTTCACAATGAGAAGGTATGTGTGAATTTCCCGTTTTTGTTTTCGTTTTTATTTATCTGAGTTTTGATAGAGAACATGTGATTTCTTTGGTCGGTCTAGATTAACACTGCGGATGTCATCAATGAAGCAGAAGACGCTTATACTTTGGAGCACCTTATTTCACTCTCCTTTGCAAATATCCTTTAACGTATCCTCTCTTGTGATCGTTCTATCTAAATGTTACGAATGGTGCAAGGATGCTTTTGTCAAAATCACGAACGAACCCAATGTGATCACACTTTGAAATGCGTCACAATACAACAGCTATGTGGCCATGAAATCTTGGCCAATGCTCGCTATTGCATCATATCACCAAACAGTATTTATTTAGTGATGTTTGATGTGTCAACATGGGGCTCTGGGAATGCAACCGAACAGCGCAAGGTTATCGGTAAGTGGTGTACAAATAGTTTAAACAAAGACTCATTAGTACGAGTAGTAACAGCAAAAACTTTTAAATGTTTTTATTGTCAAGGTGTCATGTTTAGCTACGATGACACACTGGAAGTGTAGTCTTCTGGTGGTAGCTAGATAACTTTGATGCCATGCCTTGAAAAGCAATCTGTATGCAGGTATTAAAGCTGACAATGCAATTAAAAAGAAATGAAAAAAAAAATGTAATGCTTCCGAGCCTTCCCCTCTAAGCTAACGATATCTTCCGGACATTTTATCTAAAGGAAACACTAGTACGGCTATCAGAGTGCAGACGTAAATTCCTGCGTAGGCTTTGCTACATCCACTTAATTCCTTCAGAAAAAGAGGTCATTAGCCAAATTTTAGACGATCTGCGTCAGAGCACCACTTTGCACGGATTTACACGACCAAGATTGAGAAAACAGAAATAATAGGCGTATGTTATACAACATTTTGCAAGCGATTCGGTGACAGCAAATTTGGTAGTATCTAGAGTTTAGTGCGCATGCTCGTGTTTCGGAATATGTGCGATGGACTGCAGGGGATTTGCTACGTTTATAGAAGTACTGATCATCTTAATGCTTAATGCAACTTCAAAGATCTCAGGTGAATGCACTCTTTTTAGGTCACGTGTACGTGCAGTCATTAGTGAATTATCGTCCTGTGATTCTCAACAGTATCAACAGTGAAAGGAGATGACGCAAATCGTGTCATTATCCCCCGCGCCCCGTTGTTTAAAAGGAAGACACAAAAAAAAATATATATATATGTTAATATTACAAAAAAAAATTTACTATTATTTCTCATTGTTCCATAACAGAGTATTGGAATGGAGAACTTCTACTAGACTACAAGCTTGATTACTAAAGAGTTTTGAGTACCGGGTAATTACCTTGAACGGTTACAGCAAACGGCACAACTAGGGCACTAACCTAATATACAGACAGTTTTGTGGGGTTGAGTTGAATGATTTCGAAGTTGAAGCACTGAATGGAAAACTGACAGAAATTTAGTGTTTTTGGCTGTTTCCATGGTAACAGGAAAAAAATGAATTGTCGTCAATAGCAATACATTGAAAGTTCCATCAACAACGCAAACTCGGTTCTCAGTATCAGAGGATATATAAGTAGGCGAGTCAAACAAGTATCTAAAGCAGTATTCAGACCAAACTTGAAATATGCATCATGTGCATGGAGCTCGTATAAACTAAAATGAAAACACCGACATGTCAACATAATCATAAACCTAATTCAAATTCAATAAATTTAGGGCAAAATATCAACAAAGGAATAATTTACAAAGGCTCCTAAAAAGCGCAAGGAGAGTAAGACCAGGTGTTCGCGCATTAATGTCGTATTCTGTTTCATCAACAACAACCGCCATATAAATCTCGGTCAATCCAAGTAGGTAATGTCATGTTCTCAAACGATAGCAAGGTACACAACAACGGAATCAACAAGCCAACTAATGAACATATTGATATCCCAAATCTGAAGAACCTTCCATGTAGCGAATAAACTGTAACTCTTACACTTATCAATGAGCATTTCACTATGGTATTTATGATTTTCCTTTAAAAAGACAGTACATAAAATCCTGCGTCGAATTTTTGACAAGGTGTACTGTGACCTGTGATATTTCATCAGTGCCTAGTCGTTTTTAAATTCGTTAACTGATTAAAGTGTTTCTTTGGCTAACTTTTAAATAAATGGAACGACAGGGCTCTATAGAGGCACGATGTGGTTGCAAGAAAGTCATACAAGTCTTGCAACGTGTGGCCTAGCGTTAGCATACTGAATGGTCAATTGGTTACTTAATAAAAGGCAACACCGAGGTCCCAGGATCTCATCTCGATAGCATACAGCCGTAAAATTCCCGTTAATGTCTTTAAACCTTGGGAAATTCATAACCGATCCGTACCCAAATCTGTCGTGATCCAAAGTACAAGTGCCCGCAAGATGCCTTCCTCGGCGGCGGTACTCACGTTGACGGCCATCTGATCGAAATTACGTGCATCGAGATACGTCTGTATAAAATATGAACCTCCAACGTCTCGGAGAGAAACATTATGGCACATGTGTCGTCAGCTATGAATGGATCATTCAACTCAAACAAAGTCCCAGTCTGGGATGGACGTGGATTCCGGAGTTGTATGTGATATTATTGAAGATCACAAAGGATCAATTGGACCCGTATCTTACGCTAATATAATGGTTGATGATACCGACACCTTTGAGCCCAGGGCGAGTGGCGACAACAACTGGAGGTCGTGAACCTCCTCTTCAGATCCTCCTGAAACTCTATTATAAGGATGGCTCGGGAGAAGTAAGGACGATGGCACAATCTCGCATTATGTCATAGCAGGTAAAGGGTCGGGAAGAGTATATCAAAATGCTCGGGGAGGGATCAGCAGGATTAAGAAAAGGATCAACTGGCTAGGCACATCTGAAGCGTCTACATCTCGATCTGTAAGTCGCGGAGGAGTCCAGGCATCAGATGGTATTGCTGTTGGATATAACGAGATTCAATCCCCCCCCCCCATCAGATGGTATTGCTGTTGGATATAACGAGATTCCCCCCCCCCCCCCCCCCCCCCACCGACTCCTAGAGACGATCTAATTATCAACATATATATGTAAGAGTCGTCCGAATTTCCCCATACAGTAAATTTACTGCAGGACTGAGGAAATTCGGGCAGTATTAACCAAGGAATATTTATCATGGAAAAAATCCCTTTAAATCATTTATATATTATACATAGAAACATACTCGGAAATAACACAAAACGGTAATACAACTAATTCCAACACTAGCGCACCTGTTTGATATTGTAGTTGCGGACTCAGCACAGTTTCTTCGTCTCAAAAAAGGCGAAGTCCGCGACCGGTAGCAAAATTGAAATGGGCGGGTACGTAGAGGTTACGAAATATGTCACGGGCTAAGGGAGACAACTCGCATGTATCTCACCAACACACTTTGAAATGACATTCGTTCTCAGCTGAGAATATGACATTACTTACTCGGATTGCCCAATATCTATATGGCGGGTGTCGGCGATGAACCAAAAGACGTTTACTCTTCCGGAATATCTTGTCTTATTCTCCTTGCACTTTTTTTCTGATTCTCCAAGTAATTATTTAGTTTGATTGAATTTTAGTTGATGTCGACATGTTGGTAATTTCTTGTTGTTTTTCATAACGTAATGTAGCCTTAATCGATCAAAAAATACATATATAGAAGTTACTGTCCGAATTTTCTCGCATTTACTCGAAAGTAAGGCTTCAAGAATATATCATAACTACGTGGTTGTAGATCAGCGCGAATGGAAGTTCTTAGCATTCGGAACATTGAAGTTCCGTTCGGGGACAAAAATGACTCGGTATAAATATATATTCTTAACGTGCTTTTATTTAGACTTTCAAATGTTGAAAACAATTAAATTATACAAAACATTTAACAATTAAACTGAATTTATAGTAAAATGATCATTATTTACATGGTTCCTTTCAGCAGAGACGTATATAACACACTCTGCTTTCAGTAACAATAAACTACGAAACTAAATTTCAGATTGGGGACTTCCGGAATTCAACTGTGTACGGGAAACCGGTTATCGTTTACAAGATTTGCTGGAAACCAACAGTGGCGAGATTATACAGGATATTAAAGCACATTCGTCCTATCAATACATTTGGCAACATGACCGGTATGAAGTTTCAAGGGCCAGATACTCGACGTGACGCCAGTAAGATCGATGATTACCATGGTACAAAGGTAACCTTTAATAAAAATCGAACACGGAGCACCGGCAAATCTGGCTATAGACAAATCGGCTATCTATAGTTATTGTATGTTATAGTTATCTACTTCTTAATGATCGCCTTAATGTAAACAAACAGTTGGGATACGGTCAAATTTCTTCAATGCGGATAAAAATGTGGGCACATTGATCTTATCCGTTTTATGAAATGTAACAGAAGCTATTATTTACTTCAATGTTCCGCAAGGATTCGAACCACGGACCAGGGACTTCCTAGTTAGTCTGGCCATTACTGAAAATCTTGTTTTTGTCAATATCAATTGCCATAGATTACTGAAAAAAAAATGGTGCAGTAGATTTTGCAAGGCACACTGTATTCCTACTGCCAAGTAGATGTAGTGATGCAATAGTGGCTGCACTCTTTTTGCAGTTGCTAGTCACTTTGGCAGTAGCTACTGGAAATTGGTAAGGGCCTAGTCCTCCAAATGAGTCTGGTCTCATAAATTCTGCATAAAAATAAAATCCTACAAAGCACATCCTTTGGAGAACCATTGATCAGTTCATCTTCACTTGATAAACATTTCTTCCAAAATTGATATTTGAAAACTTGCGGTGTCTGAAGTGAAAATGCCCGCATCAAAAGTGTTTCATTTTAATCTGACATTTGAAGGCTTCTTGTTTCAGATAGCTGACCCATATCAATGGCTTGAGGACCCAGACTCTGACGAAACCAAAGCATTTGTTGATGCACAAAATGATTTATCAAAACCATATCTGGAGCAGTGTCCTGTGAGGGGAAAACTTCATTCGAGGTAAATATTATATTGAAGTACATGTACATGCAAAGGTTATGACCTGCTCAACAGTAATAGGTAATTGATAAAATATGAAGATATTATCTTATCCTTATTATGTATAGTTTATTTACCAATAGTCTGAAACAGTTCTGATTTTTGTGTGGTGCCTGAATTTTTCACATTTCGAACTTCTTCTCAAGTTCCATCCATTGGATTAAGCTGAAACTTGCCTGAAATGATCCTAAAATGTCGTTATTTCATGGGAGGTCCACAGAGTGGGCATTTTGTAACTTGTATTCATATTGTTATCTTCAAAGGATCAAAGAAATGTGGGATTATCCCAAGTTTAGCTGTCCATACAAAAGGGGAGAAAACTTCTACTATTACCATAACTCAGGCTTGCAGAACCAAAGGTAAGATAGCTGTCCATCATTTTCAGTAAAACCTTTCATTTAATGTGTGGCTGTTGTAGTTAATACTGCCTTTTTTCTGCCCTGTCATTATAAAACTGTTACCATATATAAAAGACCTGATACAGCTACTGTTGTAGACAGTTGTCACCATTGTAGACCTGTCACCATTGTAGATGTGTTACCATTGTAGACCTGTCACCATTGTAGACCTGTTACCAGTGTAGACCTGTCACCATTACAGACCTGTTACCATTGTAGACCTGTTACCATTGTAGACCTGTTACCATTATAGACAGCTGTCACCATTACAGACCTGTTACCATTGTAGACCTGTCACCATTATAGACCTGTTACCATTGTAGACAGCTGTCACCATTGTAGACCTGTTACCATTATAGACATAATTTATGGATGTATTTATATATTAATCAGTCAAGATAAGTACATTTTCTGTAACAGTGAGCTGTTGAAGAATCCACATATTTTTAGGTCAAATGACCTGTGATGTTGGAATGACATATTACTGTTGTGTTTCCTCCATTTGTCCAGTATGACTGTTATCCAGTGTGTCAGCAGGAATGTTAAGAAAGGAAGCAAATAACGTGCTATTATTTTTTGGCCATGTAGAAAGCAACAATTTTGTAACATGATTGCACAACCATGGTTTCCCTCAACTACTACTATCTTAATATTCTCAAGATCTACAAGTACGATTGAGCTGAAACTTGCCTGAAATAATCCTGAGATGGTCCTTACTAAGTGTTTGTGAAGTTTTTGGGTCAGTGTGGAATCCAATATGGCCACCATTGTAAAAAAAACACATTTTATACTTCTACTGGTGCCATTGAACTGCAAATTGGTTTGGAATGGATGTTTAAGATTGAAAGTTGAAAAAGTCTTGTTGGTTTCTGGCTTGTTAAAAAGTTCAATATGGCAACATATTGTAACATGATTGCACAAACATGGCATTCTTGAACAACTTTTTTTAACTTCTGCCCAAGTTCCTCCAGTGGAATTGAGCTGAAACTTGTCTGAAGTGGTACTGAACTGATCCTGACCAAGTGTTGTGATTCTTAGGATAAGCCTAAAATCAAACTTTTCCTGCTTGTGACTGTGCTGACATTTTGCCAAGGTATTGAGGAACATAAATAAGGAGTATTTATTGCCTTTACCACTAAGATATTCTGAACTGCCTTAATAATTTAATAACTGTTTTTACTTCTTCTGCATATATAGGTCTTTATAGTCAGATGACATTAAGGTCCACTGGCTGGCCCTTGTAAGTAAAGAATCAATGACTTTAGCTGGATATGAATATCAAATTTTGTCAGTTAAGTGACTTGACTGTAATAAGAACAATTTTTTCTAGTGGTGCGATGTTTTAATTGCAGTGTCCTGTTTGTACAAGATTCTGTAGAAGGAGAGGCTCGAGTGTTTCTTGACCCAAATGCATTGTCTGAGGATGGGACAATTTCTCTACGGGGAACTGCCTTCTCTGAAAAAGGACAGTACTTTGCATATGGTCTTAGTCAAAGTGGTTCTGACTGGATAACAATTAAGGTAAAATATCTTAATATTTAAAACTGTGACTATTTCTGTCACATCTATAATCTAATACTGTGAATATATCTGTCACATCTATAATGTAATACTGTGACTATTTCTGTCACATCTACAATGTAATACTGTGACTATTTCTGTCACATCTACAATGTAATACTGTGACTATTTCTGTCACATCTACAATGTAATACTGTGACTATTTCTGTCACATCTACAATGTAATACTGTGACTATTTCTGTCACATCTATAATGTAATACTGTGACTATTTCTGTCACATCTACAATGTAATACTGTGACTATTTCTGTCACATCTATAATGTAATACTGTGACTATTTCTGTCACATCTACAATGTAATACTGTGACTATTTCTGTCACATCTACAATGTAATACTGTGAATATATCTGTCACATCTATAATGTAATACTGTGACTATTTCTGTCACATCTATAATGTAATACTGTGACTATTTCTGTCACATCTACAATGTAATACTGTGACTATTTCTGTCACATCTACAATGTAATACTGTGACTATTTCTGTCACATCTACAATGTAATACTGTGACTATTTCTGTCACATCTATAATGTAATACTGGGAATATTTCTGTCACATCTGTAATGTAATACTGTGAATATGTATCTCTCACATCTATAATGTAATACTGTGACTATTTCTCTCACATCTATAATGTTAAACGGAATATTTCTCTCACATCTAATAATACCTTATGAATTCACAACTATTACATTTTGTATATTGTAGAGTTGTTAGTAATTGTCAGGTACTGATGTTTGTTCTGTAGCATGCTGGGATGATTGACTTCCCAGTTTGTGTCAAAGGAATTATTTTGATCCTCTTTAAAGGTCACAGGTGTCAAAAGCGTTATATCATATAAACTTTATTTATTTGACAACAATTGCAATACAAGTAATGTCAATTTATACTAATCACTCTTGTTGGCCCGGATGTAAGCGCGCGAGGGGTCTTATTGTGGCTAGGTGAAAGGCAAGTGCATTACCACTGCGCCACCCGACCACCCTAAAAAAGTGTTAAACCCTGCAGACAGTCATTTCTTAGGGAACTGATATTTGGCCTGTTACTTGCTGGGATTGATGGCTATAAACTTTCTTTAAATGAGTTATCTTGATTCATTTTCAAGATTACAGGGACAAATGTGTTAAAAATTTTGAAATTCTTCTTTTCAGTAATCAATTGGCCCAGCTAGGTCATGGTATTTTTGTGATAGCATGCATGGAAAATAGCTTTAAAGTTTGCAGAAATTGACTTAACAATCCAACAGTTATCATCTTGAACTGCAGAAAAGGTGAATTATTCAGGCTTTAAGGCTTCTTGTCTCTGTTATATAATACCATAAATATTGCTTTTAAAAGTTCGTTTAACTTTGAACGAACATCGTAAATATAATATTTCTATGTTTTCAAATTTTAGCCTATCCTTCTTTAAATAATTTCTAAGTACGCTTGAAAGTTACCCAGTGCACAGAAGTGAGTGGAGCCATAGCATAGTCTTATAGGTCCATTTGTCCTCTTGTTAGCCCATCTGATGATGGTGGGCTATTCAAATCGCTCTGCCTCTGAGGTCCGTCCGTTCGTCATCAGTTGGTCCGTAAACAATTTATGTTATCACTATTTCTTGCAAAGTACTGGATGGATCTTTCTTAAATTTCATACGTAGGTTTGCCTTGGTCCCTAGTTGTGCCCATTTTATTTAGGGTCTGATAAGAATTCCAAAATGGTGAACAGGTGGCCATCTTGGATTTTGACTTTGAAAGTTTGTTATCACTATTTCTTGAGAAGTACTGGATGCATCTCTCTTAAATTTCATATTTAGATTCCCCCTGGTCCCTAGTTGTGCCAATGTGATTTTGGGACATCACTATTTCTGCAAAGGAATGTTAAAATCTCTTATCATTCAGAGCAAAAACATAGAAGAGAAGAGAAAAGAAGGGAAAAAATCCAACTTTCATAGAGCATATCGAGATCAAACAATGGGGACGTAATATCTCTCTGGGATCCCTTGTTAGAGCCTAAGCTCTCTTGACAAAGAAGCAGTTTGAAAGCATCATAGTACATATTACAGTTTTTTCCTTTTCTGACAGTTTAAGCGTGCACCTAGTGCTGAAGATTTACCAGATGTCTTAGAAAGAGTTAAGTTTTCCAGCATGGCCTGGACACATGATGAAAAAGGTCTCTTTTACAATGTAAGTAATACAGTAATTGGACAAATGAGACATAACAGTGACATGATAACATAACGGATACATGATAACATAACAGACACATGATAACATAACAGAGACATGATAACATTACAGTCACATGATAACATAACAGTCACATGATAACATAACAGACACATGATAACATAACAGAGACATGATAACATTACAGTCACATGATAACATTACAGTCACATGATAACATAACAGTCACATGATAACATAACAGACACATGATAACATAACAGTCACATGATAACATAACAGACACATGATAACATAACAGACACATGATAACATAACAGTCACATGATAACATTACAATGACATGAATACATAACAGTGACATAACATAACAGTGACATAACATAACAGATACATTTTAGAAAGTGTACATGTACATTTTTTGTACTCTTACCTCAATTGTACCTTAAAATCCATTCATGTTGTGTGGACTTGTCACGTTGTTAACCATATGATCCATTCAAAACACTTGCTTTGTAGTAAACAGTGTTGTTTACAAACATCTGTTGAGACAAAAAAAAAAAGAATCAGTGAAGTTGAATACAGAGGAGTATGAATCAGTTTATCATAGGCTTTATATTTATAGGACTAGTTCACCATTTCCTGACATTTAAGATACATTGTAATATAGTTGCTTAAGTGATTGTAGAAAGTTAGAAAGGACTGAAGAGTTTTTAGACTCAGCCCTTAATTATTTGGTAAACTCCTTTCAGCAAACAACGTAATTTGATGCATATATATTATTTTCTATCAGATTTATGCAGATTTTTTTGTTTGTTTTTTTATTTTTCGTATCATTTAAAAGAAGCAAAATAGGAATGAAGAGACATCATTGAAATTTCAATATAATTACAGCGGTACCCAAACCAGGAAGGCAAATCTGATGGCACTGAGACTACAAGTAACCTTAACCAGAAACTATACTACCATAGGCTGGGAACTGACCAATCAGAGGATGTATTAGTGGCAGAATTCACAGACAATCCAAAATGGATGATGTAAGGGTTTCATGCTATAGTATATATACCATACTTCCTGGTGGAAGGAAAACATCCCATATTATCACGTTATTGAACTGAATGATAGCCCCATCTGTTGCATTATATAGATCCCTCCTATATTTATCAGTGGCCATAGTTATTTATGTTACCTGTAATTTTTCTACAAGTTTTCTTTTAGAGAATTGGCTAAATTATCAACAATAGTGACCAAGTGATTTCAGCCTGCAAAAATGGCAGCTATAAACCATCTCGTATCATGCACTCACTATGTGTCCAATGTGTGCTGATTTGCATTTTAAATCTTCTCTCAATTTACAACTATTGATTGAGCTAAATTTGTCTGTAGTGATCCTGAGACGGTCCTGACCAAGTGTTGTCATTTTTTGAGTCAGTCTGAAATCCAATATGGCTGCAGTCTTGAAAATATATTTTAAACTTTCTTCTTATTGACAAGTTCAATTGGTGCTATTGAGGTGAAACTTAGTGGAGACATTAAGCAAGGGGAGCTAACAAAGAATTCTTTATTTTTTGGCCTCGTCAAAAGTTCAATACGGCATCCATAATGGCCATTGTTTAAGATGATTGTGCAATCATGGTTTCTAAATTCACATATACAGACTGTTGATCAATGGTGATAGATTTTCCTTTTATGATTACTCATGAACATCTTTATGTCTGTGTTTAAGTGAAAACTGTCCTTCCATGTGATGCACGTGATATATACATTGTATATATGCATTATCAATAAGAACAATGAAAAAAAATTTGTTTTATTTAGCATGATGTCACATTAATTTTAATGTAACCATAAATTAACCAAATTTTACAGATAAGTGGCCTCAGTACAGATAATCAAATTAATAAATATTATAATATGGATTGCTTTTTCTTTTTCTGAGAAATCTGAAGTCAAAAGTTTATAAAATTAGACTCAGAGGGTCTTACCTGAAAGCATTGAACAAACTTCAATACGCTTCTTACATATGTAAAAGAAATGATGTTAAATTAGTTTGTATCAATGTGTTTAAGTGGAGCAGAGGTAACAGAATGTGGGAGATACCTGATATTGGCCATCTCAGAAGGTTGTGACCCTGTCAACAGGCTGTTCTATGTAGACCTGGAAGGACTGAAGGATGGTATTACTGGACTTCTACCTTACGTCAAGGTTGTAGACAACTTTGATGCCGAGTACGAGGTGTGTTCTCTCAGGTTGACAAAAAAAATTGTATTATCACTGTTTTATTAGGTCATCTGGACCCGAAGGGTCCGATGACCTATAGTCATCATGCTTCGTCCGTCGTCGTCCGCCGTGCGCCGTGCGCCGTCCGTAAACTTTTCATTCAAACGACTTCTTCTCAAATACTAGAAGGTCTAGGGGGCTAATACTTGGCACAGAGGATACTGGCATGGAGCTCTACCAATTTTGTTCAAATGAATGACCTTGACCCACTTTCAAGGTCACAGGGGTCAAATATGTTAAAATCTTTAAACAACTTCTTCTCATTAACCAAAAGGCTCCCTGTGACATGCTGGGATGAAGGACTACCAAGTTTGTTCAAATGAATGACCTTGACCCACTTTAAAGGTCACAGGGGTCAAATATGTTAAAATCTTTAAACAACTTCTTCTCAATAACCAAAAGGCTCAGATTGCTGATATTGTGCCTGTGGCATGCTGGGATGAAGGGCTATCAAGTTTGTCTAAATGAATGACCTTGAACATTTTTCAAGGTCACAGGGGTCAAATATGTCAAAATCTTTAAATAACTTCTTCTCAAATACTAGAAGGCCTAGGGGGCTAATACTTGGCCCATAGCATGCTGGCGTGGAGCCCTACAAAGTTTGTTCAAATGAATGACCTTGGCCCACTTTCAAGGTCACAGGGGTCAAATATGTTAAAATATACAAAGGACTTCATCTCAATAAGCAAAAGTCTATGAGTGCCGATATTGGGTCTGTAGCATGCTGGGAGGAAAGGCTACCAAGTTTATTTAAATGAATGACCTTGAACAACTTTCAAGGTCGCAGGGGTTATATATGTCAAAATCTTTAAATAACTTCTTCTCAAATACTAGAAGGCCTAGGGGGCTAATACTTGGCCCATAGCATGCTGGCATGTTACAAAGTTTGTTCAAATGAATGACCTTGGCCCACTTTCAAGGTCACAGGGGTCAAATATGTTAAAATATACAAACGACTTCTTCTCAACAAGCAAAAGTCCATGAGTGCTGATATTGGGCCTGTAAGATGCTTGGAGGAGAGGCTACCAAGTTTGTTCAAATGAATGACCTCAACCCACTTTCTAGGTTTGGCTTGCTTTTTGTCAGATGACCGTTAAGGCCCATGGGCCTCTTGTCTTGAGTGAGGTTTGGAAGGCGTGAATAATGTTTTATCATTGTCTGTCCTGTCCCAACTCAAATCTATCATTAATCAAGTGACTTAAAAGGGTGGATGTAGCCGTACTGTATCCAAGATTGATATTCTGATGTTTGAAACCAGTACACTGATTACTCTAATCAACATACTGGTTAATGACTTCAAATTCATGTTAAGAAAAATTGATACATTCAAGTGATTATAAAGTAAATGTCTTCATGTATGTAAAAGATTATTAATTTCAATGTCTCCGCTAGGAATTGAACTCGTGTCCCCTGGCTTACTAGTATGGCTTTCAACCGATCCAGCTAAGGAGAACTTCTCTCTAGCCGAACGGCATTTTACCGCTAGTATTTTACCATGGATACATGTAAATGATGATGTTTAGAAAATTACACCATTCTATGTTACAAGATATTTGTACCCAGGTATTTACAATTTTACAGCTGTTTGTTAGGCGAGATGTCAAAAATGACATCTCTTTGTAGAAATACAGTTGATGTAATCATTTCTATGGTAGTAAAATAACAGGTTATCTATGATGAAATATACTAATGTTTTTGTGTAGTACATCACAAATGAGGGAATGGTTCTCACATTCAAGACCAACCTGAAAGCTCCCAGATACAAGCTCATCAACATCGATCTTTCTCGGCCAGACATGGTAGGTACACAACAAGACAATGTATGATCAGTTTTGTTTATATTTATTTGGGTTGATGTAATATGTTTTCATCTCACATAGTTCAAAGGACATATGAGCTGATGCCATAACCATGGCAACCATCCGTCTCACAAATGGTTACATGTCATTAACAACTAATTATAAGTGGATTTTGACCAAATTTGATCAGAAGCATCTGTGGGGGATGGGGAAGGAACTATTTGGTTTGCCTTGCCCTCATGAGCCTTCTTCAATATAGCAATACAGGCCCCATACATGGTCTCTGTTTTTATTTTTGTTTATTTTTGGCATTTGTTTTTTGTTTCTTCTGACAATACAATTGTGTTTCGATTGACCCGTCAATGTTGAAAGATTTGTTTTTTTCACAAGCGGAGTGAATTATGGTTGTTACATAGTTATATTCATCAGACTCAAACTCTCTGTGTCCTAGAATTGCTTTTTCTCATACATTTGATTTATATACATACATGCTCACTATAAATACTAAAGTTTCTTGTCAAATTTTGAACAGTTTAGTTTAATATTGACATCAATTACAATTACTGGGAAATCTTTGAAAGTTAGTCCTGCACAAAATCAAAGATTTTAACATTGTGATAAACATTCATTAGTTTGTGTGAGTAAAATAAGTTTATTTACATTGTAGGAACACTGGACAACACTTGTGGAGGAGGATAAAAAGAGTGTACTAGAGTGGGCAGGATGTGTCTATGACAACAAGCTGATCATGTGTTACCTGGAGGACGTCAAGGTATGGTACAACCAATGTCTCCCAATTCAGGATTTATATTTACATATCAAAAATACTTTTAATGCAAAATATTTAAGTTTCTTTTCATTGCTTAATCATGTACATATGTGTATATTTCTGTGATTTTTATAATAACTCCGGTCTGTATTTTTATCAAATTAATTCAGTATTAATATCTATTTGTATTTGATTGTTTCATACTCCTTGTGGTGAATGATGGGGAGGGGATATAATACCCTTGTCAACACTGTAACGGCTTCATTATTTGAGGAATTTTTATCAGACATCCCAAACTTACAGACTATCATATCTCTGGCGAGTTAAAGTTTCAAGTTAATATGGTCAAAGTCAAGGTCACTTTACTAATTTTTAGAAAATTCTTGTCAGCACTAGTAGCTTCATTCTTTTAACTCTACAAGGACCATAATATCCAGTACATGCTAAAACTTCAGGGTTTTAAAGTCGAAGTCACTTTAATTACAATTTACCTTCGTCTGTTAAGCAGTATCAATTATTCGTCCTTCGCTAAATCTGTTGTCACTGCAAAATATTCATGAAAACCTGAAGGCTATTTGACCAAATGTGGCCAGAAACATTTTTTCAATTTTTTCCATAAATGATGAGTCTGATATACACATCCACCAAATGATGAGGTTGTGATTGGCAAAATAAATACAATGGGAAAATATTTTTGGAAATCTTTTGTTTGGACATAACAAGTTTAGCGGATCAAAACTAGGTAAGTGATACAATAAATATCATGTGGTATTTGTTTTCATATTTCAGAATCAGCTGTTTGTCCATAGCTTGAATACAGGTGCTAGACTGGCAAAGCTTCCCTTAGATGTTGGCACGATAGCAGGTTACTCAGGCAAACGCAAGCATACACAGGTACATTAAAGATAATTACATTACTTTTAGGAATTTCTAAATACTACCACTTAGAGGAATACCATAGCTTACTATTGTAACATATCAATGGAAACTAACAGAATAGGAAAACAATAGACAACTTTCTGCTAAGCTGTATGATTTCAATTTCCCTTTTATGGATTGCAACACCACTGCATCCCCAACCTATGGTGTTAACATATCACAGCTGATTCAATATTCAAGGGTCTGATTCCATTATCATTATTTTCGTGCAAGATGTTGTCAACTGACAGTAATAATTTCTTCTCGATAACCAAAAGGCACAGGGTGCTGATAATGGACCTGTAGCATGCTGGGATGAAAGGCTTCTAAGTTTGATAAAATGAATTACCTTGACCCATTTTCAAGGTCACAGGGGACAAATGTGTTAATATATTCAAAAGACTTCCTTTCAATAGTCAAAAAGTCCAGGCTTTTGATATTGATTCTTTAACATGATTGAGTGAAGATTTATTTAAATGTTTGAGCTTGACCTACTTTCCAGGTCTCTGGGGTCAAATGAATTCAGCTCTTAAAATTTCTTTTTCAACAAGCAATAGGTCTGGAGTCATGGTATTTGTGTAATAGCATGTCTAAGGGATAGGATTTCAAGTTTGCAGAAAACGTTTTTATGAACTGACAATGTCTTCTTTGTAAGCTATCGAGTAGTTTGACCTCTTTTCTTATATGGGTTTTTATATTCAGATATATACTGTTAGGACCCATGATCCTCTTGATTTTAAATATTCTTATGATATCTTATTAAACTCAATATTCAGCTTATTTAAGAATGTGGTTACTTGTGGATGATAGCAATCAAATATCTGTTTTACTTTAGAAAGTCTGATAAATGATATTTTCAGAATCCATCAGTTGTAGATAAATTTGGTTTAGTCTTGAGACAAAGTATATTCTTGTTGAATTTCAGAAGAGTAATCCAAAGGAGAGATATCCTGATAGCTTTACAGCTATCATATGAAGCATGAAACAGCTATGTTAATTATAAGTCCTACATGTTATCACATATCTAACTCAAAAAATTTACTTGTTCCTATTTTTTGTATAAAAATACTTTCTTTCTATTCTTTGATTACTTTAATATATTCAACATTTAAGATTTTATTTTTCAACTTTCAGATATTTTATCAGTTCGTGTCATTCTTGACACCTGGCACAATCTACCACTGTGATATGACATCAGATACATATAGTCCCAAGGTAAGATCGATTGATATGACATTTAGATTTGTTATCACAGTTTCTTGAAAAGTACTGATTGGACCTCTGTCAAATTTCATAGTTAGGTTTCTCTTTGTGCCTAGTTGTGCATTATTGATTTTGGGACAAATAAGATCAACTTTGCTGAGAGGTGGTCATCTGAATTTTTTATAATGAAAGTTTGTTATTGTTATTTCTTGAGAAATATTGGATGGATCTTTCTCAAATATCATTTGTAGGTTCCCATTGTTCCAAGTTGTGTCTTCTTATTTTGGAACTGATTAGAAAAGCAAAATGACCGAACAGGGACCATCTCTGATTTGACAGTTAAAGATTATTGTTGCTATTTAGTTTGAGGAATTTAAAAATTTCATATGATGAAGAGTAAAAACAGGAAAGCAGTGAAAAGAAGGGACAAAGGTCTGACTTTTAAAGAACATAAATAAAGACCAAACAATAATAGACATAAAGATCTCTCTGGAATATCTAGTATGTTGTACGTTATAATTCTTGATCCTTTTTTTCTTTTTTTCACAGATTTTTAGAGAAATAAATGTAAAAGGATTTGACTTCAGTCAGTTTGAAACTAAACAAGTTTTCTACACTAGTAAGGATGGAACAAAAATTCCTATGTTTATTATACACAAAAAGGTAAGTACATTGAGTGTATTCTGAAGAGAAAAGTCTGTAGAGATATATTACATTATTATTGTAACTCATGCATTGAATGAATGGATTACACTGTATTATACTTTGCAATGCAAAAATGTCATTTTTGTTTTGTGCATAATTTACTTTCATGATTTTTGCAATTGAAGCAGATTTGGGAAATTAATTGCCAAAAATTAAGAAAAGGACAATAGATAAAATTTATACTATGGAAAAGTCTGTTTACAGAGAGTTAACTGTGATGGACATGTGATGTGGTAATAGTTAAAGTAAATATCTTTGAAAGAAAGTTTGTTAGTAGTCTCATTAAAGTTATGGAAAAGATTTAGGGCAATCTAGTAACAAGTGCTAGTGTGTCTACTGAACAGCAACAGTTTATGGTGGGATTATTGCCAATCTTTCACTCCTTGGATCTCAACCCGAGGGGAAAAATGATTAAGTTTGCAAAACCGAGACTTGCTGATCTCCCTGTCTCACCAACAAGGGGATGAATGATTATTTTTCTCTTACCCTGCTGATTTTTTAGTTTTTTACTTGATTTGTTGTCCCAATGCTTTGCATCATTGATATGATTTTAATTGTTCAGTTGATGTCAGTGAATTGATAATGTGATGTCATATCATTATCCTGACAGGGGAATTCCTCCCTTTCAATCTTAGGGCAAGACAAGGAAATCTCACACCGGTAAAAAACATAGGTTTACCTGTCCAGGGTAAGAAAAATTGTAGTCATTTTCTTATATCACAAAATATGTAAAGTTTATACAGAAAAACCGATTAAGAGATTTAATGAAAAAGCTGTTCAATTTGTGATGAAGTAATCTGTTGTCTTATATTTAGGGCCTAGAGATGACCGGTAACAATCCAGTGATGTTGTATGGTTATGGAGGGTTCAACATATCAATCTCCCCAAGTTTTTCTGTATCACGCCTTGCCTTTATACAACACATGGGCGGTGTCTACGCCGTGGCCAACATTAGAGGAGGAGGGTAGGTATTCACATCACTTGTATAGTCAGTGTACACGGTCATCAACATCAGGGGAGGTAATTAGGTATTCATATCACCAGTACAGTCAGTATACATGTTCATCAACAACAGGGGAGGTAATTAGGTGTTCATATCTAATGTATAGACAGTATACATATTTGTCAACATCAGGGTTGGTAATTAGGTGTTCATATCACCAGTACAGTCAGTATATCCATTCACCAACATCAGGGGAGGTAATTAGGTGTTCATATCACTGGTATAGTCAGTATACACGGTCTTCAATATCAGGGGAGGTCATTAGGTGTTTATATCACCAGGATAGTCAGTAAACACGGTCTTCAATATCAGGGGAGGTAATTAGATGTTCATATCACCAGGATAGTCAGTATATAGTCATCAACATCAGGGGAGGTAATTTGGTGTTCATATCACCGGTATAGTCAGTATACACAGTCTTTAATATCAAGAGAGGCAATTTTACATGAGGATATTACATTGGTGAGAGTTTAACAGTTAGATGTCATTTATGTTGTATATGACAGAGAATATGGAGAAACATGGCACAAAGGTGGAATGCTGGCAAATAAACAAAACGTTTTTGATGATTTCACATCAGCAGCAGAATACCTGGTGGAAAATAAGTACACTTGTCCACAGAGAATTGGTATCAATGGTGGATCTAATGGTGGACTGTTAGTGGGAGCTTGCTGTAACCAAAGGCCAGAACTGTTTGGTTGTGTTATAGCACAGGTGGGGTGAGTATAATTCATGTTTTCTCTTCTTGGCAACATTACTGACAGAAACATGTGCAACATATAGTTGTAATTTCAAAGAATAGCTCTAGAAAGATTTCAAATTGAAGGTCTCTGGATGTACTGTTAAGTCTCCAGGGATATGGCCTTTAGCAATTGCATAAAAACCAGTATTTTTTTGTATAGGCCTATGCATTGACCAGTCCTAGGAAATGATGCAAAGTTAATTTTTGACTAAATTTTAATTTTCAATGTCAACTTATCTTATTTATTTTCTGAAATCAAAAACCATGATACTTTGCAATGGTAAACATGTTTCTGTACTGATAAAATATTGATAAAGTGATGCTTTGTTGAACAAGAGTTCTGCCGTATGATCGAACATACATACTTCATGTTAAGAAGGGTATTTGAGTTTTCCAAGTTAATATAAATTAAGTTTGACTGTATTCTTATCATAAAACGTCAGATCTAGAAATAATGATTAAGATTACGTCAGTAATTAATGTCTCTACAATTGATTTTCGTTCACATATACTGGTACACCTACTTCTTGTAATGATGATATTAAATTAACCACTTTACAATAATGTATTTTGACCTCCTTATTCAAGATACAAAGCAGAAAATCTCGAGGTTGTCACACAAAATTTCATGGTAAATAAACAGGAATGGACAGTCTAAAGGTTGTCGCTCAAAATTTCACTAAAAATAAATATGAAAGTAGACAAAAATTAAACTTCTTACAGCTTAAACCATGTAAATTTGTTAAGGTCTTTAAATACTTATGGTTGGATTTTCGAAAAAGGCATTTTTTTATTTCAAGATTTATATTGTTAATATTTGACATATTGACGATTGAATGAAAAAAAAATGAACCTGGGGGGTCAAGATGACCAACTTATGTTTTACAGTATACCATTTGGTCTCTTCTCATTTGTAGTGTGATGGACATGCTGAAATTCCACAAATTCACTATTGGTCATGCATGGACAACAGACTTTGGCTGTTCTGATAAACCAGAGGAGTTCCAGTGGCTTATTAAGTAGGTTAATAAATATTAACACCAGATGGAAGTAAAATGTGTAAAATTGTCATAAGATGATATACACCAGTCACAGAGATATATTTTATACGATGTTTTTGTATAGTAAATTATAAAAAATCCCGGTTTTAATTGATGAGACTGTTCCACAAATTCTAAACTCCAATTAATTTGTTACATGTCTATATTTATCATAGAAAGTATTCCACAAAGCAAGTTCTGAAAATTTAATACTTCTCAATATCATTAATTGTGCCACAATGATTAAGTTAACTGTTCAACAAATAAAGAAATGGCCGGCTGAGTATGTACTCCGACTTCATGTCAAACTGATTAGTCTGTAGGGATATTTTAGTGTAGACACACATAGAAGTCAAGAGAAAGCAAATACAAAAATTGATCATTTAAGTCTTTTTTATATGTAATATATATGTATTAAGTGTAAATAAAGTAGAATAGTTTAATGCTGTATAAAGATGTCATTTTACCAGCTTAGAAGAGAGATAACAAAACCATGACAACTGTTTTCCATAATTCAGACGCATAAATCATAATCTAAACCAAATTATTAAGTTTTTTAAAATATTTTAGGTAAAGAACATTTTTGTTAAAAATAAGAAAAAATTTTTTTTTTGGTGCTTGACTTGTATACTTGGTTATGATTGCGTGCTCACATTATAGATAGGTATTGATGACTTGTGTTCACATTATATAGGTATTCACCTTTACACAACATCCGAGTGCCAACAGGTGATGTCCAGTATCCGTCCGTTCTACTTCTTACTGCTGATCATGACGATCGTGTCGTCCCACTTCACTCTCTTAAGTTCATCGCCGAGCTCCAACATGTCATGAAATCCTGTGACAAACAGGTTTGTTTTAGATTTATTGTCATTTATAAGAAAATGAAATCATGGTTTTTGTTACAGGATTTAAATTGAATTATTAGATCATCTGGCATGAAGGGCCAAGTAAGCTTATGGCATATCTGTGCATTTGTCATCATCTGTCAGTCAACTTCCCAAACAAATTGTTACAAGTCTTGACCCACAAGGTGGATTTTAACTAACTTTGGTCAGAAGCATCCACGGGGGAAGAGGCAACTATATTCTGATGAAATTATGAGTTCAACCATCTTGGGCAAGGGCTAGGGTCAAGTCAATATAGGGGAAACAACAGAAATTCTTTAAAATCCTTTCTTTAGTAGGAGTTATTCAATTTTGTCCAAATTTCGTCTGAAGCATCCATGTAATAAAGAGGATCATTTTCATGTAAACAGTAGGTCTCCGTCCCCAGCTGGGGTAGAAAATAGAGACGAAAGTCAATAGAGGGAACAGGGCTACAGTATACATGCATTAAAGACATACAACATACATCTGTAAAGGGACATATACCATAAAACATACATCCATAAGGGACATTTACATACAACATACATCCATACGGGACATATACCATACAACATACATCCATACGGGACATATACCATACAACATACATCCATACAGGACATATACCATACAACATACATCCCTATGGGACATATACCATACAACATACATCCATACAGGACATATACCATACAACATACATCCATACGGGACATATACCATACAACATACATCCATACAGGACATATACCATACAACACACATTCATACAGGACATATACCATACAACACACATCCATACAGGACATATACCATACAACATAGAACATACATCCATACAGGACATATACCATACAACACACATCCATACAGGACATATACCATACAACATACATCCATACGGGACATATACCATACAACATACATCCGTACAGGACATATACCATACAACATACATCCATATGGGACATTTACCATACAACATACATCCATACAGGACATTTACAACATACCAATAGATGAATTTAACATCAAATTGAGAAAATGGAAAAATCACCTTCTGTTGTTGATCACATCTTTCTATGGCTGTTTAAATCCTTTTCTTGGTATAATGTTCATTGTAAATTCTGATTGTTACGAATATTCAGTATGGCATTTTTTATTATATCGTAATTAATAAGAATTAATAAGAAGATGCTGCTTATATTACATATTATCTTAGTTCATGATATAAATGACAAAAGTCCCTATATATACTTTCTTCAACATAATGCAAGTGAATGTGTATGATATCCTGTATTGTGTTTCTGTTGTGGTAAAACTGTTATGGTTGTAGTACTAAATATGTCCTAGATATAGGTAATTACGAACAATAATAGATGTAGAATTTATATATATATATATATACAATATATATTAAATGTTCAAAAGCGTGTATTGAAATTCTTCCTCCAATATGTACAAAGATATAATATCTATTTATAGAATGTGTCCATACATTTCTTCCTACTACACTGTATATTCAAATTAGAAATACATGTTATTGTTGATAGTGCTTGAAAACATCCATACAATTCATTCATCTAATGAATCATGAGAGCCCTCCTGTGTATATGGACAGACTTGTTATGGGTATTGTTTTTTGTCAATAAAATGTTTGAGGGACAAAAACATTGGAAAATTTGTGAGTGAAGACATTTTTTTTATCTATGTTACAGACCAACCCACTGATGATTCGTGTAGACACTAAAGCAGGACATGGGGCAGGCAAACCTACTGCAAAAGTGGTGAGTTTGGAATTTGGAAGCATAAATAATTTCTGATTTTGAAAATCCATTTAGCTAAACAGCAAAATCGTCATGGAAGACAAATTCTGTTGTTGGTAGAGAATAGCTCAGTTTTGATAAGGACTGCTAACATTGTTTGCTAAATGGACTGTATTTGTACTGAACAACAGGACATTTTGTAATGGTAGGTATGAAGCAAGATATGTAGGTTTTATTTTATGTGAAACTGGACAAATAGTAATCTTACACATACAATATGAGGACAGGAAATCTTACACACACAATATTGTGAGGATAGAAAATCTTACACATAAAATATTGTGAGGATAGAAAATCTTACACACACAATATGACGAGGAAAGGAAATTTTAACCAATATTCTGAGAACTGCAAATTTAACCTTGTCAATAGTAGACATAGGAAATCTTAATCACATTTGGAATTCTTGTTTACAATACAGTAAACAAAGCATCATTGGACATCTTAACTAAGATATGGTATGTTACATAGATCTACAAGATTCGTTATAGATAAAATATCTCAGGAGTTGTTTCCCTTTCTACCAAAATAAATGGGTGTTATTATTGATACGCGACTCTCTCAACTTGTATTAACTGTAAAGATGGAAGGAAATTTTATCCATTTAAATGTAAACAACGGAAATTTTACCTAAATGTTTATTTGACCTGCAATGTTTATATGAAATTAAATAGATGTAAGTAAAGGTAACACATTTATATTAAATAAATATATTGCCAAGACCATAATCATTTGTTTGTGTATACCTAATGCATACATTGGAGCTGATATTCTTCATCAATGTATATATTGGAGTTTACATGCGTCATCTAATGTGAGTTGATATGCTCCAGCTAATGCATACGTTAGAGTTGATATGCTTCATCTAATGCTTACATTGAAGTTGATGTAGAAGGCAAATATAAATATTACAAATTTACTCATTTCAGATCGAGGAAATAACAGATGTATACAGCTTTGTATACCAAACTATGGATCTACAGTGGAGAGATTAAGGGGAGACAATTTCACAGTTCCAACCACTGTCATCAGGAATAAGGGGGCTTTTGCAAAAGGAATTGAAACTCTGGACCAGTTTTACCAGAAGGAAGAAACAACAGATACAAATCTTGATGGAGGCTGGCCAGTGAAACTTTCTGAAACAAACTCCCTTCTGCTAGTTTCCAGTTTTGTTTTTTTTTTACTTTTTTTTTTTATAAAACTGGGATGGTGCACACATGTATTTCTGGAAATAATCTTAAATTCAGCATTGCTTAAAAATGGAACACATTTTGTAATTTGTTCTTTGAAAGTTTAAAAGTGGGCATTTAGAGCACTCAACTTAGGTTTCCCTCATTTTGTATGGGTGTGTTTTTTTTATCACAGAATAAATCTTTGAAGTCTGGACCCTTTCAACTAGGTGACTCCCAAACCAGCCAAGAATAGACAAACATATAAAGAAGCTAGTAGAAATAGTTGATATGGAGACAACCCTCTCTATAAACTAATTTTATCTTACAGACTCATTAAACCTTTAAGTGACTGAGCAAGAGTTAAGAGTAGGGAGGTAAGTCAACTCACTACCAATTATTGTGAGACCTGAGTTAACAGACTGTATATACAAACTAATGAGTTTTTAGTGGAATGAAGGAATAGACAATCAAGAGGCTGTATTCCTTCCCTTTAACATAAACTAGTGTAAAACGAACTTCACAAGAATCACTTGTATGAGGGTTGTGAGCAAAAGGGTCGGTATAATTTATCTCAATAAAGAACAAGGAGAGTTTTCTGTGATGTATAAACCATAAAAAATTTGAACTTTTTAGTTTTTTTTTTTTTCATGCCTTATGATAGTATTTTCTTAATTGAATTAAAGGGGTATAGTGCCAACACCGTCATGTAGTTGGTTTCTAGATCCCTCCTCTTGATGCCCAAGGGTTCTTGTATGCATGACCAAAATTTATATGTAAACAGGTGATGCGGCCAGGTTCGTAAATTATTAGCAGGTAGTTTTGTTGATCATGAAAAAACTCCTTGATTTATCCAACACCTGATGTGATTGATTGCAACAAAGGTATTTCCTGAAATATATATATGCATCAACCAAAGTTTAATCAGAAATTCCAAATAACCAGTAACTTGTCATATATCCTTTGACGAGGAAGCCATACCCATTGATTTCCATTTATGCCTTTATACAAACTTGTCCAAGTTTGCTGTTCCAGTTTCAGCAAAGTGTTTCTGTACCATTTCCTAAGTACTACCATTTAATGTTTGCAAAATATAAGTGTATCATTAAGATATCATTTCTGTATCAGTTTCAATGTTCTACCACAGTGTTTGCATCAAACCTCAATAGCACAGGTGTAACATTTCCTTACCATTTTCAGTGGTACCACCAAGGCATTTGTGAGCACAACTTTCTACTCTAAGACTGTTTATGAAATGTTAAAATTTGTATAATATCAATAAAACCTTGTGCGATTTGTATATTAAGTGAACAGTTTGACATACATACAAGTTGTAACTTAAAATATAGAATGTTTCTTAAAAATTTTAAATATATTAAGATTTTTAGCTCACACGGATCCCTTTGTCAAGATTTTAGCCACACTTGGCCCAAAACATCCTTTGGTGAAAGGGAATCATTTTTGTATAAATGGTTGGTCAGCCCCCGTTTGGCGCTTCCCACTTGGGGCCTTCATTTTCTGTAGAATTCTGTCCCAATTTGGTGTGAAGCATCCTTTAGTGAAGCGTTGAACAAATGGTTTAACCTACTCTCTGAGGTCAGAGGGATGGGGAAATAGAAACCTGCCTTTAGAATTTCTTTTCCTTTAGTTTTTGATTATAAAATTCAGTGAAACAAAGCCGGGTGAACGATATCGGCCCTACTTTATCAATATTTTTACATCAGCATTCGAAGTATTTTTATCTTGCAGTTTGATGTGTACTACAGTGAAACCTCACCTAACGACCACCTCAAAATTACGATCACCCCGCTATTACGGATACTTTTTTCAGTCCCGTTTTTTCAGTATATATCTTATTATTATTATTATGTTATTCTGTATTACGACCAATTCTTACAGTCCCAACGACCACTGATTAACGATAATTGACCTCACAAGAACGACCAAGTTCTGACCAGTGATTAATGTTTACCTGGTGGGCAGTGAACTGCGAGCATGTGTGTCGTTCTCGACCATTGTTTTCGTCACTGGTTACCTACCCTGTCACCAGGTGGCGTTACACGAAGTAAACATCACTATCGGATGAACTTGGCCTAAACGTGTGAAACTGCATGCAAAACACGTTTTAGTAGCGATCTACTGCTTGTTAATTATATATTGATAGATCGGTAGGTTTGCTGTTAAACACCTTAGAAGCCCTGCATACCCAAAGGTGAATTATGTAGTCGCTTCGACCGATATTCCTTTGCGCGCACGCGCGTTCATACGTTGTCGAGGGTTTTTAATGTATCGAGTTTTATATGAAATCATGATGTTAATCTGAAGTTTATATCCTATTTTATCCTTTATTTTTGGAGTAGATTTTCATTCCTTATATACTGATACTGTATCATCAAGCAATGTCGTGTCTTGATCCAGGGGTGTTAGACAGAAAATGTCAATTTGAAGTAAAAGGGACCATTACATACATCTGTGGCAGTATAAGATTAGATTATAGATACAAATATGTATGGAATATAAAATATGCATAATTAAACTATTTTCATACACAATTTTATGTTCTTGCAATTTTTTGTTTGTCAGCATTTATTTTTTTCATTTTTCAAGACATCAGATCAATGATAATGGAACCCCGTGATGTCATCAACTATTACCTGGATATCAGACACAACTGTCACTATTTACCTTAAATGGAAATACCTGGATTCTAATAAACACTTGCTCAGCAGTCAATATTGGAATGGACGAAGTTTTTGAAAGAAACTAGAGACCGAGTCAGCCTACATTTTCAACACAGCTTCAAAAACTTGCACACTTATAAAATTTGGGGCTTAACATTACTCACCTACAACTGATGAACTTTCTATGAAAGACAGTATATTAATGACTTGCAAACTTGCTCAGGGTACCTGTCCGTGATTCCAAGTCATTTGTAATGAGAAGTTGTTTCAGTGTTTTAACAAATTGGTCACTTCTAACTTTTAATATAGTTCATTTCTTTTCACAAACATTGTCTGGCTTCATTCCCTTAGCATATTAACCAAATATCATGATACAAGTCCTTTGGTTATTTCATGCATTAAAAAAAAAAAAAAAAAACAACTTTGATGCATTTCAAAAAATATTACCTCCTGTGATCTTAAATATTGGTCCAGGAAGCTAGTTGAAGCAAAATTTACCATGCTTTAACGTTGGAACTTATCAGCTACATTTTATAGTTTCAGAACTTTTGCATAATGAAAAAGTTGTTATAAGCGAGTACAAAAACAGGTGAACGGCACCTTTCAATATAAATTTGACATCTGCGACTACGAATATGGAACAAGGTTATTTCATTTTTGAAAAACCTGCCTGACTTCATCACAGAACCCTACCAGCCAGATATTATCCTCTGCCTTTAGGTTAATCATCTTTAGTTTTGTGAGCGCTTCAGCACTTTGATGCCGAGACCTGGAATATCATTTCCTTCCTTATGGAAAGACCCATAGACTGACAAAGTCTGTAATAGATAAACAGTGGCGGTCAGAGACGGATTATGAGAAAGTTTACCATTTTTCAACCTATTCGAAAAGCATGAAACAGCAGGACAGCAATATGCAGAAGACCCAAGGTCACATGTCAAAAAAAAAAAAAAAAAAAATACATATACTCTTTAATTAGGCATCAATACTTGTATAATTATTCCGAGTGACAGTTGAAGATAGTTACAATATAGGTAATTTTTTTTCTCTAAGATTTGGCATAGACTATTAAGATATATTACCTATGGATCGGGCATACCCTAAAACAAAATCATAAAATGTATGTTAACAAAACACGAAATGTATTTTAAAATACACGTGCATAAGACACTAACATCTCGCTCGTGAAGTATGTCGTAAATCTGAAGGAATGATCGTGCGTCAGTGGGTGGGATTTTGGCTAAATTTAATTAATTGTAAGAAATGTCCGCACCAAATAAAAATGTGTTAGATTTTCTAATGCCAGTAAATAATAACGGATTCACTCCATCCAGTCCGTGCTTGTGATGTTCTTTATGATCTCCCAGAGTTACTTCCCTTCGTTTCACTCTCGTCAGTAAGCTTGGCAGCTGGTGAGGGCCGATAATGACCTTGCTATATGATTACTATTTATTCCCTAAACTTTTCTAGAGTGAATAAAGAATGTGATTCCAGATGTTTGCCAAAGAACAATGGTTTCCGGTTAAAATCTCGATGTTAACTGTTTACGTCACAGCTCATTACTGTTCGGTATTTTCCGCTCACTACTCGAGAATTACCGCCATAGTTTAATCCTCTGTCCTCTGGTTTAACATAACACACGTTGACCTCAAACCCAGTCAACAAATGTATAATGTTAGATTTAAATCACTCACGTCATTGACTGTTCTGTTCTTAGATAAAATATATGTTATTCTGATTATGCACAAGAGTTTCTGTATGTGTGATTTCAAATGTTTGTTCTATTTCCATTCAGTATGACTGTATGTCGGAAATTTTGCAAATGCACACGCTTTCAATGTAAGCAACGGCACATTAACGGAACTGTTATAGCAATCTTCCTCGGTTAATGTCCAAAACAGGCACGTCAATCCTCAAGTCAATTATTGCAGAAATATTCTATATACAATGTATTTTACGACATGTAGTAGTGATTAGGATGTGTTAAGCATTCTCGGCATATCGCTTTACTATTTGACGGAGAGAAACCAAGGGCAGTAACTCTTGGAGACCAGACTGGTGTTATGAAGAGTAACTGCCCCCTCCATGGTCTGACGGTAGCGTAGTAAATATTTGAACATGACCAATTGCAGATATGCATTGTATGTAAATAATCTCATGATCGGAGTCGACCTTGTTGGACTAAAATCTTGCTGTCGGGCATCAGTTATTTTCACGTGAGCTTTGGATGCGTCTTCAGATTTTATGGCGAGGGCCCTGGAAAAGAAGTCACTATTTCCTGTTCGCTGTGTACACCTGCTTCTTTACACGAATCTCTTCAAGAAGTCAAATGCGTCGGTGGTGAACTTATCAGTATGGTTGCCTTCCAAGCATTCGATCCGGGTTCGACTCCCGGCCGACGCACATTACAAAGGTTATGAAGAGTAATTGCGCGACTAGCATTTCAGTGTGTTTGAGTTGTTTCCCTTCCACCTCCAGACACAATTATGTTCCCTCGGTGATGGTAGCGGGGTTGACCTTGTTTACAAGTTGTTATAATTGTCATATGGCAGGGAAATGTTAAACAGATGTGCAGCGGACGAACGGACGACATTTCCAGAGGAGGTTGATTTAGCCCAACAATTAAACAGCAATCAATTATTTCAGACGTGATCATCCATTCTTTCTTGTTTTACGGGATGATGATCGTAGAAACCTGCAGTGTCCTGTAATTGATTGCGGCGATGTATTTAAACGGTTGGGAGTATATACTGTAAAATCTGCAGAAATCACTATTTCGTGGGCATTCGTTTTTGTGGATAAACATAAATGTATAAATATACTTATACCGAGTATGACAGTTCGTGGACATCATAAATTCGTGAATTTGAATTTCCCACGAAAATTAAAGATTTTACAGTGTGTATGTTTCTACTGATGGTATGACTAGATGTATCTAGATAAGATATATTGCTTTTTCTGCAGCATGTACAAGTTTATCTAATTAGCTTGTACTGTATAAGGACTGCACGGGCATTACCTGCCGGCCGTCTTGGTCTCGTGATACTAGTGCTCAGTGGCGTTTAACCAATACAGGCTTCTGTAGAAATGCTAAATTATCTAGAATAAATGTCAAAATGTAGACGACACAGTGTACTCCACCGTAATACTATGAATTTCTGGAGTAATTCAAAATAAAAGGTTGTTGTACGACATAGTATATTCATTATGTCAACACGCTCCTTCAAAATTTATTCTTTTATTCCATATGGTAATTCCATATGAAACAATTGTCCGTCAGAAAACTTTAAAAAAACATGTATATATTGAGAATAGTAGTGTTCTTATAACACAATCAGTAGAAGATTAGAGTGAGACGTGTCGACGACTACACGGTCACCTTCATCAGATAAATGACCAGTGTGTAGTAGACGAGTTGGTAAGGAATTGACCAACTTTTTTCAGCTGTGCTAAAGTCGAAAATAATGTTACGAGATGGTAAACAGATTAAAGACAAAAATGTGTATACACAAGATAGTAATAATATACTGCTGTCAATTCGCATACGCTTTGTTAACATACATTGTTATCATTTTTCTGGTTTTATGACCTGTTTACCAACTTGTCACACTATTTCCTGTATTAGTTACAAAGGATTAAAATAAAGCTGAAAAAGTCTGTCAATTCCTTACCATCTCGTACACTACGTACGTTAGTGCTAGTACTCTCCAAATTGGTCATTTGTCAGATGAAGATGACCGTGTATTCACATAAATGTCACACTCTTATCTTCTACTGGTTGTGTTATAAGAAGAAGGTGACCGTGTAGTCACTGAAACGTCATACTCTAATCTTCTACTGGTTGTGTTATAAGATGAAGGTGGCTGTTTTGTCATCGAAACGTCACACTCTAATCTTCTAGTGGTTGTGCTATAAGAAGAAGGTGACCGTGTAATCACAAAAACTTCACGCTCTAATCTTCCACTGGTTGTGTAATAAGATGAAGGTTACCGTATAGTCATCGAAACGTCACACTCTAATCTTCTACTGGTTGTGTTATAAGAAGAAGGTGACTGTGTAGTCATCGAAACGTCACACTCTAATCTTCTACTGGTTGTGTTATGAGATGAAGGTGACTGTGTAGTCATCGAAACGTCACACTCTAATCTTCTACTGGTTGTGTTATGAGATGAAGGTGACTGTGTAGTCATCGAAACGTCACACTCTAATCTTCTACTGGTTGTGTTATGAGATGAAGGTGACTGTGTAGTCATCGAAACGTCACACTCTAATCTTCCACTGGTTGTGTTATGAGATGAAGGTAACTGTGTAGTCATCGAAACGTCACACTCTAATCTTCTACTGGTTGTGTTATGAGATGAAGGTGACTGTGTAGTCATCGAAACGTCACACTCTAATCTTCTACTGGTTGTGTTATGAGATGAAGGTGACTGTGTAGTCATCGAAACGTCACACTCTAGTCTTCCACTGAATGTGTTATAAGACCTACTATTCTACTGACATTGCCAATCTGAACGAATTCTTCCAAAATGTATAGATTTACAATTACAGTATTTGATAATAAATACATGTTTGTCCTTCAGTAAATCTACCAAACCACAGAAAAGAAAAACCATAACACTGTGGATGACCTATATTTGACCCTTCCACAGTCGATGTGCTAGGTTTCCCCCTGGATTTATGCCGATTATAGCATAAAGCACCACATTTTTTTCTCCGTAACAAAGCTTCCGTTAACTCTCATGATGATACGGATTTATACCCTGTTCAATATACGCCATTGATGATTCTGTCAACAAGATTTACAGATTGGGAAAGAGGTCCCTATTAGCTTAACCTGACTCTAAATCAAATTCCGATTACTTCCTGTT